GCCACGGTTTAGGACGGCATGACTGGTTTGGGAAAGGGACATTTACGAACATGATAGCATCAGCAGAAGCCTTTGGGTCGCTTCTTGCACGGCGTTTTGGCGAGAGGAACACTTGTTTTTCGGTTTGGGCGGTCGACAATACCCTTGATGAGCTTGCATGTTAGGAAACGACCTAGGAAAATGGGTCCATTGTAGCATCTATTACATAATACGAACTCTAACACAATGAAAGAAGAAAATCTATATGCACTTGCCCTGTATTTTGATGTGGTAGTCCGGTTAAGACTAGGGTGCTGCGAGGACGTTCAAGGGCGTGGCAATCTCGGGCTGCAGATAACAGACACGATGATGTAGCCGGTGGGGACAAGTCGGAACAAACCGACTCCAGTAAGGCGTTTCGGAATTTGGCCGCGTCCTTTCAATCAAAGAGTCTGCAAGCAATATCTAGCAATTCTGTACATAGAAGTCCGATGGTTGCCAACCAGAGGGGAGCTTTTTTTTCCATTTCGGCCTCTCCATAGCAGAAATCAAGGGCAATGAGCATTCCGGTCAATGGTAAGGGGCTACACGAAAACGTGGCATGGGCGAAACGCTAGGTGTGGCTAGTGCGTGGCGCATGCGGGTCAATCTAGAGGACAGATTTCTTGGGATGCGCCAGAGTCAAGACAAGTGCTGTTGCGCCGCCTTATTGCCGTTTCTGCCGTGGATAGTCGCAGAACCTTCCTTTTGATTCCCTTCCTTAGTCCTGTAATCGTGCTTGGAAACACGGTCTCTTCTTTTTCCTCTAGCAATCAGGGCCAGAACACTGGGTGCTGACCAAGTTGATAAATACGTCAGGGACACAGGCACACCCATTCAGTACTCTTATAGGTCAGATATTTCTCTGACGAGACACTATCCCTGCGCAAAAAACACCGACGCGCGACACTCGAGCGACAACTGTACGAATCTGCAGTAGGCTGAGAAACGGTCGATTGGTGAAAGAGCCTGGGCATGGAGAATGCTTACACAAAGACGCCCGCTGAGGCGTTGAGACACTTTCAAGTCGACGAGCACCAGGGTCTCAGCGCACAGCAGGTCCAGAGCTCAAGGGAGAAGCACGGCAAGAATGGTACGTGAGACCCGTCGACACGCAGTGCGCGCAGAGGACTAGGCTTTGGCCAAATCTCAGGGATAAGTGCTAACGCGCAGGAACAGCGCTGCCAGAAGACCCCCCGACGCCCATCTGGGAGCTCATCCTCGAACAGTTCAAGGACCAGCTGGTCATTATCTTATTAGGTTCCGCAGCTGTATCCTTTGTTCTCGCTCTTTTCGAGGAAGAAGAAGGATGGACTGCCTTTGTAGATCCCGCGGTTGTAAGTAAAGGTCGCCACCAGAGACGCCATATACAGGTGCTGACTTTGATTGCCTTCCAGATCCTCACCATTCTCATCCTCAACGCCGTTGTCGGAGTTTCGCAAGAAACCAGCGCCGAAAAAGCCATTGCCGCCCTTCAGGAATACTCTGCCAATGAGGCCAAGGTTGTACGCAACGGACACATTTCACGCATCAAGGCCGATGAGCTGGTTCCAGGAGATATTGTTTCGGTCACTATTGGCGACAGGATTCCCGCCGATTGCAGGATCCTTTCTATCCAGAGCAACAGCTTCAACGTCGACCAGTCCATTCTGACGGGAGAGAGTGAAAGTGTGCCAAAGGATACCAGGGTTGTCAAGGACGAAAATGCCGTCAAACAGGATCAGGTTAACATGCTTTTTTCGGGTACAACGGTCGTTACAGGACATGCAACCGCACTTGTCGTCTTGACTGGTAGCAATACGGCTATTGGAGATATCCACGAGAGCATCACATCCCAGATCTCGCAGCCTACCCCGCTCAAGGAGAAGCTCAATGACTTTGGCGACCAGCTCGCCAAGGTTATTACGGGTATTTGCATTCTAGTATGGGTCATCAACATTGGCAACTTCAACGACCCGTCTCACGGAAGCTTCGCCAAGGGTGCCATCTACTATCTCAAGATTGCCGTTTCGCTCGGTGTTGCTGCTATCCCTGAAGGTCTTGCCGTTGTCATTACAACATGTCTGGCTCTTGGAACGCGCAAAATGGCCGCTAGAAACGCTGTTGTGCGAAGCTTGCCTTCTGTCGAAACCCTCGGAAGCTGCAGTGTCATTTGCTCCGATAAGACCGGTACTCTTACTACAAACCAGATGAGTGTCAACAAAATGGTCTTCATCAACGACTCTGGTAACGGACTTGAGGAGTTTGATGTCGAAGGTACCAGCTTTGCGCCCGAAGGTCAAATCACGCTCAACGGCAAGCCCATGGACAACCTCGCTGCCAAGTTCGACACTGTACGCCAAATTTGTGAGGTTAGTGCACTTTGCAACGATGCTGCTCTCGCCTATGACTCCAAGAACGGTGCATACAACCTGGTTGGTGAGCCCACTGAGGGTGCGCTCCGTGTCCTTGCTGAGAAGGTTGGTACACCTGACGCTGCCCATAACGCGACCCGCGCCAGCACTTCACCTGAAGGACGTCTCGACTTTGCCACTAAGCACTACGAAAGCCAATACACTCGCCTGGCCACATATGAATTCTCCCGCGATCGTAAGAGCATGTCTGTCCTGGTCAAGAAGGGTAATGCGCAAAGGCTTCTCGTCAAGGGTGCTCCGGAATCTATTCTCGACCGCTGCACAAGTGTTGTTGTTGGCAAGGACGGCAAGAAGGCCCCTCTGAGCAGTCAACTGGCCAGTCTTATCACCCAGGAAATTGTCGATTATGGTAACCGCGGTCTTCGTGTCATTGCCGTGGCCTCGGTCGACGACATTGCCTCCCACCCTCTCATTTCCAAGGCTAAGACTACCAAGGAGTACAGCCAGCTTGAACAGAACATGACTCTGATCGGTCTTTGCGCCATGTTGGACCCCCCTCGCCCTGAAGTTCGTGCCTCGATCGCAAAGTGCCGTTCTGCCGGAATCCGTGTTGTGGTCATTACTGGAGACAACCAGAACACTGCCGAGGCCATCTGTCGCGATATTGGTGTTTTTGGACCTAACGAGGATCTTACTGGCAAGTCGTTTACCGGCCGCCAATTCGACGATCTCTCTGAATCTGAGAAGATGAAGGCTGCCAAGAACGCCAGTCTCTTCTCCCGCACTGAGCCTACACACAAGTCCAAACTCGTCGATCTCCTCCAACAGGCCGGTGAAGTCGTCGCCATGACTGGTGACGGTGTCAACGACGCTCCTGCTCTCAAGAAGGCTGATATCGGTGTCGCTATGGGCTCTGGAACTGACGTTGCCAAGCTCGCCGCTGACATGGTTCTCGTAGACGACAACTTCGCTACCATTGAAGGTGCCGTTGAGGAAGGACGCTCCATCTACAACAACACACAACAGTTTATCCGCTACCTCATTTCCTCCAACATTGGCGAAGTCGTCTCGATTTTCCTCACTGCTGCCATGGGTATGCCCGAAGCTCTGATCCCCGTCCAACTCCTCTGGGTCAACCTCGTCACCGACGGTCTACCCGCCACCGCCTTGTCCTTCAACCCTGCCGACCACGACATCATGAAGCGCCAGCCCCGCAAGCGCGATGAACCTCTTATCAGCGGCTGGCTCTTCTTCCGCTACATGGTTATTGGCACCTACGTTGGTGCCGCTACTGTTGCCGGCTACGCCTGGTGGTTCATGTTCAACAGCGAGGGTCCCCAAATCTCCTTCTACCACCTCCGCCACTTCCACCGCTGCTCCACTCAGTTCCCTGAAATCGGCTGCGAAATGTTCAGCAACTCATCTGCCCAGGCTGCCTCCACTGTAAGCTTGAGCATCCTGGTTGTCATTGAGATGCTCAATGCTATGAATGCGCTGAGTAGCTCAGAGAGTCTGCTCACGCTGCCACTGTGGAAGAACATGATTCTCGTCTATGCCATCTGCCTGTCCATGGCTCTGCACTTTGCTCTACTTTATCTTCCCTTCTTGCAAAGCCTCTTCAATGTTGTCCCACTTAATAGTAATGAGTGGAAGGCCGTCATGGCGATTAGTGCACCTATCATGTGAGTTTTGTTTTGCATCCCCGTTAAAAGATTCTTGCTAACGAAAATGACTAGACTAATCGACGAGGTTCTTAAGTTCTTGGAACGTAGCTTCTTTATCCAGAAGGGTAACGAGAAGCTGTACCCTATTGAGCAGAATGGAAGGCCAAAGAAGGAGTAAAGCGGTTCTTGCTCTTGCCCTTTTTTTTCGCCCTCTCTGCCCATCGTTCTGTGTCTTGAGACGCAGGAAAAAGAATCGAGGGACGTGTAATCCAGTGTACGTTGTAGAAAAGGCAGAAAGCAATGGCAAGGTGAGAGGTGTATTTCCTCATGATTCGGTGGCAGCACTTTTTGTGTGTGTGTTTTGGTGGTTTTCTGCGCTCTCTTCTCCAAGCAAACTTTGCGCAGCAGCCATCCCGCATGCATGTTGTGACTAGATGGTTAGAACGGTTAGATTTTTGTTGCTATCCTATACAAAACATTAAGAATGACAATCTCAAGAGATGTAAAATTGTTCATGATGAGTCGTTGGTGCATCTTGTGTGATGTTTTCGAGTCTGCTTAGTTGAAGGCATAGGGTAGGACGGGTTAGTAACTTGAGAAGGACGTTGGTGATAGAAAACGCATGTGGATTACAGGATTCTTTTAACATATACGCAGAAGCTGGAAAGCATAGTAAGCGTGCCCTAACATTGCATGTGTGTTGAGTAACTTAGCAGTGGAAGCCCTGATCACAGTAAATCCGATTTCTACATCCATGCTCACTTTCACTTTCACTTTCACACAGTCGCGTCATTGTAAACTTTTCTCACTCCGTCCACATATTCCACTATATTTTCTCTCACAACCCCGCAGTTTCTCATCAACGGCAACTGCAACCATGCCGCCCTACGGCCTCTACCCAATCCCCCGGCACCATCTGTCCCCACAAAACACCAAGCTCCAGCACCGCCGCACATTCAACAGCATGGACTTTGCCGACACAGAGCCCACAAGCGAGGTTACGGCAAAGACAGCCGAGCAGCGAGCTCAGAGGAAGCTAGAGAAGCGCCAGCGCAAAGAAGAAAAGAGGTTGAAGAAGGAGCGCAAGGCAAAAGCTAAGCAGCAGCAGCAGCTTACCGAAGCAGAGAATGGCGTGCCACTTCAGCAACCCGACACTACACAGTCCGTGACTCAAGCAGAGACCGAGCCGCAAGTTCAGCATACTGACTCCACTCCTGTGGCTACTCCCGTCAAGAACGGCCGCTTCGGTCCGCGCGGTCCATACAAGAAACGCGAGAAGACTTCTGACGACACACCGGTTTCTGCCCTCAAGCGCAAGAGGGAGAGCCAAGTGCAGGCGGCCGCCGCTCTGAATGGTAGTACTAGCAACAACAACGTCGACGGCAGCGGCGGCGGCACGTCGTCGTCATTGCTTGACCCGAATTTCCTGTCCTCGCTCAAGGAAAAGATGGGGGATATGGGGTCAGCGTTTCGAGAAGCGGAAAAGGAAGGCGAGGAGCCTGTGGCGAAGAAGAAGAGGGGACGTCCTGTGGGGTCGCGCAAGAATGCTGCTGAGGTGGAGTTGACGAAGAAGAGGGAGACTCCGAAAGGTGCTGTTGGTAAGAGTGCTGTTATTGCCCCGACACCGGCGTCTAGCAGTAAGAGTACTGTTTCGTCGACACCGGCGTCTTCTAGAGTCTCTGGCTCGATTCTTGACAAGTCGTTCAAGGTGGTTAGGACGCCTGTGCCGGTTCCATCGGGTGTGTCAACACCGGCATCTACCAAAGTCGCTGGCTCAACTCTCAACAAAGCATTCAACATGATCAATACGCCTGTACCGATTCCATCGGGCGCGTCGAGTATGTCTGCTTGTGCAAAGACACCGGTTCTGGGGCTGCAGAAACCCAGTCTCAGCCTCAATGGAAGCACGAGTGAGCTGCAGACAGGCAATAAGTCAAAGCTCGATCAAGCTGACGTTCTCGTCGTCGAGACACCTCCCTCACACATGAGCAAAACACCAGTCACAGCAACACCTCGTCAGCCTGCTATCCCATTCCCTCACCTCCGGACCCTATTCTCCACCAGCAAATCCTCCATGGTGAAGGGAAAAGGTACCACCATCGACCTTACTTCGCCCGAGGAGCCCACGCCAGCAGCAAACACATCTACAAAGCACGTCATCAGCAGCCAGGGCTCAGTCAACCCCCTAACCAGCAGTCAAGCCTCGATGGACTCGCTTCCAAACACCCGCCCTCCGGCCTTCACCGCCTCCACCCTCTCCTGCTACAAACAGCAACTAAATGAAAAGCCTAAAGGGCGACCCCGGCGCCGCCAACGCGCCATCTCCGAAGCCCTCAGCTCAAGCAGTGACTCAACCTCGACCACACAGAGCGTGCTCGACATGCTGACTCGGGTCCCGAAGCCCTACGGTTCCACGTCTGAGAACCCCTTCTCCTATTCCAAAAAGAAGAAGGAGAAGAACAAGGGGGACGAAAAACACGTGGAAGCCGACAGTGAGACGTTCGAGAAAGCCTTCAAAGTCCTGCAGCGAACAGTGAATTTCACCGATGAGGAAGAGTATCTAGCCGTGTACCAAAAAGTGCTCGAGCAAAGCAAAAAAGCCCAACTTCCATGTCTGAAAAGCGCAACGGGGTGTTCGTTCCGCGTCCACGACGCAGCCTCATCCTCATTGTTTTCTCCCGCCGGCGCGCTCGAGAAGCCCAGCGCAGACACGCTGGATTCGACGCAGCGAGCCGAAGCGGCAGAGACATTTCTGCGCCACGCAATCGCCGCGCGTGTCCCCGTTCCCCTGGGCCGCATCACGGGCGTGTGGCGCTTGTACTGCAACGAGTATACAGGACAGCACGTAGACAAGTACAGTGCAGGCATGCGCACGCTGACCATTACCTCGCCCTCGTCGTACCAGGGAACCCCGTTGTACACGGCTCGTTTGCACATCCCGCCTCGCTCCATGGCCTTTGTCGTTGCGCCCTTTGCCGCCCCGCCGCATGCTGGCTTCCGCGCCACGCGCATGAAGCTCGCTCACGAGGGGTATGCCATGGAAATGGTGTTTTTTGGCAACGGATATGCGAGGGTTAGCGCGGATGTGGGCTTGTTGCTTTCTGGGAAGCATGGCACCGGGGGCCAGGTCGAGAGTGCGGGGAAAAATAGGGGATACGGCATTTGGCACTTCCTTGCTGTCCATGAGAGACCGCTCTATTGGGAGCCTGAGGTCGATGAGTTGGAGGTTGAGGGTAGGAAGTTGTTTGCTGCGTATGATGGTGTCGAGTGAGTGATGAGCATCGGGGTGGTGGGGGGTTATGTAGGATAAGGGGGATTGCATCTTTGTGTTTTGTTTGACGTAACTACTGCTATATGCGCAAGTATCGTCGTGCGATTAATGAGCACCACAGTTCTTTGTGGTTTCGAATGAAGGATTCTGTATGGTTAGATGTTCTGCATGGTTTCAAAGCATGCCAACCCAGTGCAAATCAAGTAGTGCGTCGAATGCGCTAATTAGACTTGTAGTTATGTGGTGGATGCTCAATACACCTCTGTGCAAGAACGTATACTTGCAGTAAATCCACACAAAGCTGGAATGCCATCATCGCCCAAGTGTTTTGGATGTTGTGCTTGGGAGATGTTGGCAATTGAGGAGCCCAATGAGAGTCAGTGTCGGTAGCGAGTAAGGAGGTGAAGAGGCGGTGCGGAGGCGAGGAGCCAGGAGGGCAAAAGAGATTGCAGGAACTAGGGAACATTTTAGGCGCGAGGCTTTATGTATTTAGTGAGATGTATATGAAGATATGAAAGGGAAAGGCGAGGAGGCCTGATCTTTCCGTTTGGTGGGTCGGAAAGATGGGGAAGGGAGAAGGTGCGGTGGTCTTGTGCGATGTTGTCTTCTTTTGGATAGCGGGATATGATGATAGTGAGATCTGGAGCCCGAATGTTGATGTGAATGATAATGGACATGGTCATTTAGCGGAATGGATGGAGAATGTGAACATTGAATGTTGCATTAAACACGTACTCGTCGCCACGCCATGACTTTACTCCTCTCCATCGTCTTCTTAGTTGCACGTCTCAATGTTGGATTTGCAACTGCGAAAATCACTTCCACGTACTCGCTGTGTCTAAATACTAATACTGTTTCTCTTAAAATAGCCCATACTCATCGCCTTGACCTTCATATGTGCCAGTGTTGGTAGTTCTGTCGGAGGAGCTATTTAGGGTGCAATCTGGTCTAATAAGACGTACCTATTCTTATAGCTAGCTGTTTACGTATTAACAAGATGAACCCAGTCTTTCTTCCAGAAAGGTTACAAGAAATGGTAATGCCTATCGTCAACTCACTCCTCGACAATGAGCATGAATACACACACATCTAGCGCGAATGCACCGGCACCAAACCGATCTATCCCGCACACTGAACAATTCAGCTCTATCAACACATTTGAAACACAAACACACAAACACACACACACAGCCCAATACCCAGAAAACCAAGCAGGTTAATTTCCGTTTCACCCGGATAAACCGATCCCAAAACGGGATATTGTTCCTCCCCTGCTGCCCGACCCACCCGTTTGCGCGCGTTTACTTAGTCCGAGCTGCCTGTTTGTACTTAAGGTTTACATAGGTAACCTAGCTTCCCACGTGCATAAGTACAGCAGGCTAGCTTTTCCTAACCGCTACCGTCTAATGCGAACTCATATAGCAGAAAGAAGCTTGTCAATAACATGTATGTGGAAACGTCTTGGACGGGGCTTGGCAAGGGGCACTTTTGTAACGTAGTAAGCTAGTAATCTAAATATTCCTTTCAATCAGCCTACGACTCGCACGCGCAAAGGCGTTTGTTGTGTACTACCCTGACTCAGGTGCGCAAACTTGCGAGAAGCACTTTTTACATCGGCATGTGAGAAATGTCGTGCGACATGCACGTGTGCAGGGTATTGTTTTTTATTTATTCACTTATTTATTTATTTATTTTAAAAAAAGGAAAAATTCATTTCTTCATTGGAAAAATTCATAGCTACGTTTATAGTTGCTTTAGTTTCGTCTCCTGACACGAATCTTGCCGCCGTGTAGCGGTAACTTGAGCCAGACGGTATCCAGCGGCTTGGGCCTCACCGCCATGTGCTCGACATCGTAGTTTAGCAGCATATGTGCGATGAATACCTTCATCTCGTTTAGCGCGAAGAACCGGCCTGGACAGGCATGCCTGCCGAACCCGAATCCAAGGAAGGCGTCGTCGAGGGTAGCGGTGGACTTGGCTTTGCGCTCCGTCGCATCTTCTTTGGCGGCGGCCTCGAGATCCTCTTTGGTGGTGAAGCTGTCGATGATGTTGCTTACGTTGGTGGGGTCGGCGAAGCGGAAGGGGTTGAAAGTGCGGGCTTGGGGGTAGATTTGCTCGTCGTAGTGGATGGGCTCCATGGGGACGGTGATCATGGTTCCTTGGGGGACGTGGACGTTTGAGACGGGGAGGCGGATGCCTTCAGGGTGTACGACCTGTAGGGGTTTGTTTAGAAACACGCGTGCTTAGGAGGGCTGGGGAGGGGACTTACGGTTCTGGGCAGTCCACAGATTGCAAAGGGGTTTAGGCGCATGGATTCGCGGATCATGGAGTCGATGAGTTTGAGGTCTCGGACTGCGTCGCGGGTCCAGACGCCACCAAATTTTGCGAGGACAGTGCTGGCTTCGTTGCGGAGAGCGTCGACGTAGCCGAGAGAGGGGTCCGAGCTGAAGAGGTCGAGGATTACATTTTGAACAGTGAAGCTGGTGGAGTGTAGGGAGATATCGTTGACGAGCAAGAGACGGTGGGCTACGCGTTTGGGCTCCAGTTGGCCGACATCACCTTTGGCGGCAGCAAGGTAGCACTCATCGATAAGCCATTGGAGTCCATCTTTCTGGATTTGGAGTCAGCGTACAATCTTGTCAATGACACAGCGGAAAACTCGTACCGGTGGTGTCCAGCCGCATTTTGGGTCAGCCTTGTAACGAGCTGTTGCTTCCAGTCGTTCTGTTACGAACGGCAGACAGCCTCTCAGAGCCTTACGTCGCAGGTACCAGCAGTTTGAGCCGACCAGAAAACCCGTGATAGGCTTCAATGGCTTTGGTGACGCGTTGATAAGCATAGCACCTGCGAAGATGCTCATGGCGTGGTCTCGGAGATCATTCAGGAAAGTTTCATTACGGCCTAGAAAAAGGCATCAGTCTCGTAGTGTCCGGATCTCGTCGTGGTAAACTTACACAGCGGCGCGCCACAAAAGGCTCCATTGCTTGCACCAGCAATGAGTTTCAAGCAGGAATCCCAGACTTTGACTTCTTTCCATGTTGTGTCACCTTTTTGGCCCCACCACCGATCGAAACCTCTGTCGAGCTCGTCGGCCATGAGTGGAGTCAGATGTTCAAGATTCCTGGTAATCTGGTGGCGCACAACATTGATCTGGAAGTCATTGTCTGCTACCTCCTTGTCCCAGACGGTCCATTTTGTTTGGATGGTCTCGCTCTGCGTGGCATGGATGTCAAGTGTGGATTCAGGAAGAGAGTAGACCTTCTTGATGAGACGGGGTGGCAGAACGATCATAGCACCTCTGTCAATGCTCGGCAAGATGAAGGGGCTGTTCAAACCGGCAAACTAGTAACAAGGTGTTGAGTAATTGGCACGCAAGCATTGTAGCGGACCATACCTTGCGATAGCCTTCAAAGGCCCAATCCTGCGTCTTGCGAACAGACTTTAGAGTAGCCCATACCCAGGCGAGCCATCCTTTTCCAAGGCCTACGGTTGGAAGCTCTTTCCAGTGCTTTGATTCCGGTGGCCCAAAGAACAAAGCGCGAATGGCATGGTAGACAACGAAGAGGATGGACAAAGGCACGAGGGCCTGTGTGGGCGTGATGATGAGCTCCATGGCCCTATGCACAAATCACTAAATCATAAGAGCAGAGCAGAAGCTGCTGGGCTCCAAAAAAATCTGTCTTTAAAAGGTGCCATGCCATACTTCATGCACGTCTCGAGGCGATAGCAGCAACACTTGGGATGGCGTGCGAGTGCTACCATGCGCCGACAGCGCTAAAGCCAATCGATACAGTCGTATCCGCCGGACCAGGGTGGCTGCAGCCAGAGACGGCCCAAGACGCTTGTTCGACTTGGCATCCCAGCCTCTGTGTCTGGGTGGGGATTGGCGAATGAGCAGAGTAGTCGTGGGCCGAAGATTGCATCAGGTTGGATATGGATTGCGGGGGGCCCCGAGCCCGCTGCCCGCAAAAAACAAAGTTCAAGCCGTTGCACCCTGTAGTAAATCCACGGCTGGGATTTCGGCAAAAGCAAAACTGATAGACGGCAGTGTGGACGGAGCAGGAGAGGGATTAACCAACGGCGGCATGGGCACCCTCCAGGCGGGACAATGGAGAGACCGGGACCCGAGGCGTGCAGGAGGTCGCATAACTAGTGAGCATGTAGGTAGGTACGTGTGTACGTACTTACTTGGGCCATACCGCTCGATGCACCCACACAGACGGGAGAGCAGCAATCAATCTGGCCATTTGTCGTCGGCGACTAGAGGCCACACTGACAGCGCGTCAACCGCGCGGCTCTAAGTAAGTACACACGGCTCGGGTCGGCTGACCGCTGCTTCTGGAACGAGAACGGCGTGGGGCTGCCCACTATGGGTTCACTTGCCCGCCAGCTGGGAGAAGTCTTGGTTGTCTTTTCCCATGCCTACATAGTACAGCTCAGCCGAACGCCGAACGCCATTGTGTGGATACGCATACACATGCTCTTACAATACTCGCCTCGGTTGCCGCCCTCTGTTCAGCGCCTCCACATGGCCATGGATTCCCCTCCTCTGCATTGTCCCGACGCACCTGTGCGTGCGTCCTCCGCCCGGACGAACTGCCCCAAGCCCACGCAGCGGTGAACGACCCGGTCGAATATCAGCACAACTGGTATTGTCCAATGCACGCTGGAGCGTCAGCTATCAAGAGCAGTGCCTCGAGCATGCAGGCAACCGCCTCTTTGGTAGCTGTCGGCACTCGACGTCGCGGTGCACATGGGGTTAGTCCGCCTCGGCTTATGCCGCCGGCCAATTGAGCCATTTGCCAAATCTTCCAAGACGTCAACTCAAGATTGAGGTGCGCTATCCGCTTCGCTGCTGGCTTAATCGCCCAGAATACTCGCCTATCAAAAACCGCCAAATTATTGCCCATGCAAAAAAAAACACGCGTACCATGTGGGCGAGCATGCGACCTTGAGACCTCACTAGCCATTATCCCGGCCTTGCTGCATGCTGGCTGCAATCTAGATCATGTTCAAGCCCGGACTGATGGAGTGACCATGGCGTCTTCCGCAGGGCCGGATTGGGTAATATGTTTGAGCAGCATCTGTCTGGCATCGTCATCACGCAACGTCAGACCGATCAAACGTTTAGCAGTCCTCTCCATGGAGCGGCCGCATTCGCAGTGCCCTCAGGCCCGCCTTCTCACTGGGTCAGCTTCAGCAGCTCATGGTCGTTAACCCAGCATCGTAACAGGATTTCCCTTCCGTGGTGGGGTCTCTGATGCATTAGTCTGCACGTCAAACTAGTGCCTCACCGGAATTTCACATGTGCTGGGTGAACCTGAGGTACCTAGAGTTGTGCCATCGTTTCGAAGGCTGGATACTTGGAAGGTCTCAACTCACCGTCTTGGTCGACTTAGCAAGAAGCAGGGGTTTCACATACATAGTACTCCAGGAAGCTTTGACTCTACTCTCTGACCGGCGATAAGTAGTAGTTGCCATGCCCTGGCCATGAGGATAAAACGTCCAAGATATGAGAGGCACCCATGTACCAATTTCTCACACCGATTGGTCATTAAATCATCTTTTAGTGAGAAAAAAAATATACCTGCTCTGGTATCCATGGCTGCTCTAGTTGCGGCGTAGTCACTAGTAAAATGCACAGACACGACTCGAGACGCCGCAACTAGCTCTACAATGAGCAATCGGATACAAACGGCAATGCGCCACATACCACCAAGAACATGGACATAAGCAAACCTTCACAACGTCTAAATATTCATAAGCCATCCACGCGCTTGCTCATTAGCCGGGATAGTGGTCTCACTCCACGTTTTTGACACTTTAATCCACCCTGCAGTGCGGGTACATTGTCCCGCATTGCGCCACCGCTCGACATGGGGGTCCTCGGAGCTTCTACACAAGCGGAACTACCCCCATGTACCCAGACTCGCCCGTGTATGTATGTACACCATGTACACCACTTACGCACCCACTGCATGGGCCGTACAGTAGAGCCGCATTTCCGACGCTGTCCAACCCTCTCCCCCGAATCCTACGCTACGAGACATCGGGCCGTTACTAGCAAGCAGTGCAGCAAGTGCATGGGCGTAGGCGCTTTCGTTGCTTGCATCGGCCATGCCTACCTTCTAGGATGGCCTGTATCATGGATGTGTCCACCAATCGTGACATGCACGTATACACGGGCGCCTCCACAATGCCGGATGGTAGCTGTGCATTTACATAAACTGACACAGACTTGAGGGTACCGTGGGCTGATGCCGCTTGCCTCGAGCTGCATGATAACGGCACAGTAAAACTAATGATGGCTTCTGCTAGCATGCTTGACGGAGACGCTGCGACGGGTCACTACGACCGAGGTTTCTGCGCCATCAGGCTTTGACACTCTTGCTTGCTTGCTTGGGCCCGCCTTGTATATGTACCAAAACATAGCCCATATACCTGGCTCCCGAGTAGCAGGTCCGGTCCAATTTTTAGACTTGTCCATTGTACGCTTTCTATAGTCACAATGGAATCTCTAGTATTGCCAACAGTACACTTGCCTACGTTGAGTCCTTTGACAGTCAATGCTGCAAGCAGTGTCTTTGGTTTCTTGTCAATCTTTCTTTGCTACAGAGCACTCGTAGCGAGGAAGTTGGTGCGTTTTCATCCTCTCTTTGTATCAAACTCTCCGAGTTCAAAGCTGACCTTATCATTTTAGCCATCACTACGACAGCTTCTCAACTATGTCTCCAGGCCCTTCGTAACCCGCTACAAGGCATGGGCATACCTCTTCTGGGGCCCAGATATTATTCAAAAGGCATTCGATGAGGCGGGTGGCAAGCCGTTCGAGTTGTTCGCTCCAGACAACCGCTACGTCTATGTATCCGACCCTCAGCAAATCAAAGAGATTGACAATGCCCCCGATACTGTCCTGTCGCTTCAAGCGGCCTCTAAGCAGGTAAGCCAATCTTCTTCTTCTTCTTCTTCTTCTTCTTCTTCTGTTCTCTATTGATGCTAATCAACTTCCAGATGTTGCAACCCGTGTACACAATGTGAGTATAGCTCAAAGCTCCGTATCGTCCTTGTCATATGGTGGTGATACAAGTCACATGACCTATTACCCGTGTTGACCGAGGATGCACGTCTCTCATCCTATGTGGCTTACTGACGTACAACAGGCATGGCTTCAATTGGTTCGATAGACGCGGAACCGAAGGAGTGGGCTTTATCCGCGCTCTTCGCACGCTATTGACCAATAACCTCCCCAAAATCCTGCCTGATCTTACTTGCATCATCCGCACAAGATTCGAGGAGCTACATGCTTCTCATCCAGTCATCAATGGTATTGCACACTTTACATATGTGTATGAATGCAGCTGACAGTGAGGTATAGGTAAGAGGCATTCAGATGTCTATCACATGACTGTGAAGCTCGTCGTATTGTCCAACGCTGTGTCGTTCTTCGGAAAGGATCTAGGTATGCTCAATTGAGTATTCCAATACCTTTCTCATACGTAAGCTAACACCCCTGTTTAGCCAAAGACGAGCAATTCATGGTCTCGGCCCTGCAATACATCGAGGAGACTCTAATTTGCGCCGAAATCGTGCGTCTGCTACCTAGATTCCTGAGCCCGTAAGTAACCTCTTCGAACCACTTTGTTGGTTTTCTTACGTCTATTCACTCACTAACATCAACTCCCCAGCATTGTCGGCAACATCATCGCTCGTACCCTCAAATCCCATGCCGTAATCTTCAATCGACTCCTCCCCATCGCCCAAGAACGCTGCATCGAACGCGATGCCGCCATGCTCGGCCAAAAGGTGCCTCAACACGTACGTACTAACAACCCATGTTTGTATCTCTCCATGTACCTGAGCCAAACTAACCCGTGACCACAAAGGCCGACTGCATCCAATGGATCATGGAAACCTCACCCAAAAGCGCCCCATGGACCCCTCAGCGCGTAGTCCACGAACTAATGGCCATCTGGTTCGGCTCTGTCCACGCCGTCTCCACAACCGTCACTTTCGCCATCCACGACCTGTGCCTCCACCCTGAATACGTTGCCCCCCTTCGTGCAGAGTGCCAGGCGCAGTATGCGGATTTCGAACGCAAGGGAACGGGTCTGCCGCTGTTGGATAGCTTTATCAAAGAGTCTGCACGGTTGACGCCTGTCGAGTCGCGTAAGTTCTTTCCCTCCATCTCTCTCTTTCCTCTTCACTGTTGCTAATGCAAAACGATAGAAAGCACACGCCGTTCTGCCCTTCAACCTTTCTCGCTCAAAGACGGCACCCACGTCAACGTCGGCGACTGGTTCTGTACCCCTGTTCGCGCGATAATGACTAACCCCATTGACTACCCTACTCCCAACACGTTCAGTGGGTTCCGCTTTGCGGACCCGGCGCTTGTCCAGTCGCTGGAGGATGCGAAGGGCTCGTTTGAGATTCTCCAGAAGAAACCGACCAAGTTGACGGATGTGGATATGACGTTTCATGTTTGGGGAACCGGACGCATGGCTTGGTGAGTTTCCCTTGTTCCTCTTTCTTTCTCTTCGCCTTTTTTCTTGTACCTGATGGGAGGGAATCGTCATGTATGAGATACAGGTGCTAACACAATCACAGCCCTGGCCGCTTCTACGCCTCAGCAGTCATGAAAGTCATCCTCGGCCAAGTCATTCTCAACTACGACTGTGAGCTCCTAGAGCCGAACGCCAACCGTCTATTCACATGGCGTTCGACCATTCTGCCTAAGCCGAGTGCAAAGGTCATCTTTACGCCGCTCAAGGCGTGAGATTGACACTGTTGATACAGTGCGACAGCCCATCTTTTTGTTTGATTTCCAGGGGGGAGGTTTGATTGACGAGTTCATGCAATTAGCGTTTCTTGTTTTTTTTTGGCGTTTGGGCATACGAAATTACGATACAACACGATGATATCCACGCTCCTTTTTCTTTCCTGGTTGCTACTACCGGATGAAAAAATTACACTTTTACTAGATAGAACCAACCCGTGCGATGTGATGTTGATGCCTCAAGAGGATCGGTATATTGAATATTGCATTACACATTGTATTACTTGTCAGTCACCTGGCTTTTCTGAATCGACCTGCAAATAGCATGCGCCCCTTTCCATAATACTTACATCGCACGGTTCACGCCCTCTTTCCAGCTNCCCCCCGTCGCCCTCACCAATAACAGCACTGGCCAAACGGCCACTCCTCCACCCCAATATTTGAGCATCCACTCGCATCCTGACACTCTGACCAATGGACTCCGCACCTCCTCTTTTCGTCTCTCGAGTCCACTCCAGACTGTCGAGCCACAGACACACGTCTTGCGTGTGTCGTCATTGTCGTCGCAAAAGGCAAATCCGCAGAGGACGTGATATGCCTATTCCAACGCGGCCATGCGTCTCTATCGCGGTCCAGCAAATTTGCTGCTGTGTTGTTCGATTTGGACGGGGACGCAGCGATGCATGGGCTGCCGGGTACGTCGAAGCCGCGGATCACTGTTTCCGGGGTATAGGCGTCGCGCGCTACCACTGCGTAGCCGGTGTATGCGGTCAGAGGCGCGGGCGAGATCTTTGTGTAGGATAGGCAGTGTGTGACGGGATGGGATTTGGGTGTGCGAATGGAAGTAATGACTGTTGGGAGGGGGAGTCGAGGTAAGTGATTACATGGAGTGATGTGGTTGAAGTTGTGCTTCTGTGCGGGTGCTTTTGTGGTAGCCTGCTCCTTGGAGGCCTTTGGCGGCTGTGAAGTAGACTCAGCGAGTATAGAGTTGCAGACGAAGCTGTCGGTGCGTTTGTGAGCGTTGTGTGCGCTCAAGGTTGGCTTGCGTCCTGCGAACAGCGTTACGAGCCAGTCACGCCATGTTTTTGACGATGCGCCTGGATTGCATCTTTTTGTTGTGAAACTAGGCTGTTCTCGTGTGGCCGCTTCATCGTTCTCAGAAACTGGTATATACAGGGGTGCGAGTACCAGGAGTGAATCACTTGGGTCGATGTCGTCGTCTACGGAGCTTGGGAAGCTGGACAGACTTTTTGAATCGAATGAAGAGATCGGGGTTTCTGCTGTAGGGTAAATGGCGCTCTTCAGAATGTCGTCCGTCCCATCAATTGCTGGAGCAGAAGCCTGCATTTGCGAGAAACATCCTCCTTTTCTTCCATATGTACCAATATTCTCTTCGTATATTGCTCCATGTGGATCAATGGGAGTTATATATACTGATTCTAGTTAGCAAGCATTCTATAGAGATAAACATAATGGTCAATTAGATGCCTCTATCGACTATATCTGGGTTATTTATGGTGTCGTTTGCTGGTGATGGTTTGGCCATATCCACGTGATGTTTGTTGTTTTCTTGCAGACGCTGCTTGTTTTGACCAGATAATCGAACGCGCGACATGATTGTACAGGGTCCAGTGAAATTGCAACCATCAGTTGGAATGGATTGGCTGAGTAAGTTTGGGAGAGGAATTGAGAAGAGAAAGGTATTAAGAGAAACCGGGGGTTGAAGTAAAGTCAAGAACTGCCCAAGTTTGTGAAGAATCTTAGTAAATTCCCCGTTGCACATGCAGGTTTTAATCAGTGCATGAAATATTCACTGCTTTGCGAGTGATTGCGATGAAGCGATACGATAGTAATGGTGATGGTGGCACATGGCGATATCATGGTGAAGGTGAAACTGAAAGACGTGGACTACATGAAAGGAGGCAAACATGTAGAGCATTCGCTGATGCTGAAAAGGTCACTGAGATAGAATGGAAAATCTGGTTGGTTGCAAATATGTGGTCTCTTAAGTGTGATGTACGATTACAGCTGCATACCGCCAGGTGAGCATGGAGACAGTGTAGCACAAGCTTAAGCTGTAGGCGTTGATACAACGACACTTGGCCGAACTCCGGTTGACACTGATAGGAGCGCACATGATAGCTTCTCCGTCATGCTAGCGTGTATACAGGCACGGACAGATGGCTGCTTTGTGATTCAAGGTTCACACTTAGTATACTCATGCGTTGTCCGCGCAAATATATGTGACTGCATACAAGGTTAGCAAAACCAAAAGGCAGAACTGAGGCAAGGAACAAGGCACCATTGTTTCCACGGACAAAGGCATCGCCCCAGTTGCGCGTAACCTTGCCGTCTGAGACTTCCTTGCAACGCTCAAGGGCAATGTTCATGTAGCCATCGACTGACTGAAGGTCACCTGTGATGGTGTTAGCACACAATGGAGACGAAGACAGCAGCGTATTCACCTTTGTAGATGATGCCAGAGTTCAGCTTGACAGTGACAGGAGCGCCAATAATCTCGCTGAGGAAGCCGCTGGGGTCTCTAGAGTCGGCGGCAGCCTCTGGTGCTGGACTTTCGCCGTTTGTGGACATGGTGTCGTGGCTGGTTAGATGCGAGTTCCTGGACACATGTTCAGCGCCATGGTGGCGGCGACATAGATGATGCTGGGACGATGGAGCTTACGTAAGAAGAGGCGTGTTCCTGCCTTGCGCTGGCGATGTGCTGGTGGGTGACGGGTGAATGGACTGAGTAGGTGGCGCACGGACCCGCTCTTTCTGTCGCTACTCAGAGATGGCAATCGCGAGCAACGTGACTGCGCGTTTGGGAAAGCCCCACCGTCCCGCCTTCCACGTCTGTCCGCCTGCTCCTTTCAGGCGGGTACTGCTGAGTCAACACCGTTCAAGCCAGCCCATCCATAATCGATGCTTCTCTTACAACTATGACGCAAGCCACCCCGAGCGCGGCACCGCCCAAGAAGCGCTCACTCTTCAAGCGCCCAGCCTGGCAAGACTCTCCGAAAGACGACGACGCCGACATCTTCAGCCACTCGAATGAGTTTGCCGACATCATCGCCGACGAGGCCAGGCGGCGCGCAGAGGAAAAAAAGCAGGAAGAGACCCGCCGTACACGCAAGCACTCGCAGCCACGAGACAGTAAACGTCGGCGCACGTCCAATCCAGACGACAAGAAGGCTACTGCAAGCTCGACACTGAAGACATCCCCCAAACGCAACAAAACACCCCTCTCGCCTCTCCCAGTACAATCGCCGCCGGCCTCGCTCGCTGCCCGCTACGACTCGCTAGCAACGTCCAATTCCTCAGCCGTCTCGCTGCCACATAAGGACTCGCTCGTTATTGAGCTGGGTGATTCGGAAGATGACTCGCACAATGTTCACAAGTCTCCCGCGCCAGTCGCTGCCAGCCATACACAAAATGTGGCTGTTCGCCGGTCAAAACCGTCGCCAGTGGTTATTTTAGACGACGATGACGAAGACGAGGCAGAGGACGAAGAGGACTCTATGTTTGCTGCATTGAGGGCAAGAGCGCGAGCGCGCATTGCAGCAAAGGCCGCTGCATCGTCAGCACAAGGCAGTGACGCCCCCAAAGCCCCAATCACCCAGCTCCTCATTACTTCGCGCATCCCGAACACAAACCCCCTCATGGTCAAGATCAGAGTCGACACGTTTATCGAGAAGCCACGCAAGGCATGGTGCGCAAAACAAGGCCTTTCGCAAAGAGACACAGACAATGTTTTTTTTACATGGAAGGGTACACGTATATACGACAGCACGTCCATCACACGTTTGGGTATTACAGTTGACGAAAACGGCCATGTTACAATTGAAGGGGACACCAACATTTACGATGACGTCAACCTCCCCAAGATCCATGTCGAAGCCTGGACCAACGAACTTTATAAAGAGTACAAGAAGGAGGAGGCTGCAGCAGCAGCGGCTAAAATGCTTGCTGCTGAAGCCCCTGTCGTGGTCGAAGAAAGGACTCCCACTCCGGAACCCACTCCCGTGTCCACAAAACTACGGGTCATCTTGCGTGCCAAGGGCAGAGCAGACTTTGGCTTGACAGTGAACCCAGTATGTACAGACGTCTTCAAGGCAAGCCAGATCACGTGTACTAACAAGAGCTATAGCACACTACAATTGCCCATATTGCAAGCGCATACAAATCCCAAACTGGTATTGACAAAAGCCAACCAATCACACTCATGTTTGACGGCGACCGACTTATGCCCATGGACACCGTGGCCGACTACGAGATGGAGGACAGGGATGGAATTGAAGTCCTGTTCAAGTGAACATGTCCCCACTTTTTTTTTTACAGCAGTGGTCGTTTGCTCTGTACTGGCATCGTCGTTTTTTTGATTTCTTGATATGAATGCTAGCGTGGCGTTGGGGGCGCATCAACGTTCGAACCACGTGTGCTTTGTCAATTTGATCTGAATATTCCTTGAAATGGACCTGGAGCATCTTTAATGCATCGAATAACAGCCATGGCTGTGAATATAACCATTTGTCTTTTGATTGAACAACTCAGATATTAGGATTCTTTCTCCTGTTGGCACCTCCATCAAGAATCAACTCTTGACCGCTCAAAAAGCCTGCTCCCATAACATACTCGACCATCTCCGCAAGATCCTCTCCTCTTCCCACCCGGCCAGCAGGATGCTGCTTATGGTACAACTCATCCAGATCATCGGCCCACGCCATCATCCTCAGCTTCTGCGCCGACTCTTCATGCGGCGCAACATCTTTGTACGCGCCATTCTGCTGCTCCTTGATCTCCAAATCCCTCGCCTTACACTCGTGCTGCACACTGACCCACCCCGGCGAGATGGCCACAACACGGATTCCCCATCTCTGACACGAAATCGACATGGCCTGCGTCAACGCCAACACCCCCCCTTTACTCGCCGCATACCCCTCACAATCCGGATCAGACTGGTGCGCACGAAACGATGCAACGTTGATTATGCAACCGCCCTCATCCAGCTTGTCTTCTCCATGCAAGTTGGTAGGTAACTGATTGAATTCCTCGGTCCGCTTGAGATCTTTCCTCCTATCCACACCCTTTGCGCCCTCCTTTTGCGTATTCTTGCTCTTCATGAACGGAATCACCGCTTGGCTCATGTAGAACGGTGCACTGAGATTGGTAGCAATGTAGGCTTCCCACTGTGCGCCTGTGGCCTCATCTTCCATTGTGCCGTTTCCGGCGTTGAAAAAGCCGCGGGCAATGCCCGCATTGTTGATCAGTACATCGATTCGGCCCCCGAAGAACTCGGCGGCTTGCGCGACGGCAGTGCGGATCTCGTCGGGCTTGGTGAGATCCGTCACGTGGGAGCTTACGCGGGGTGCGTAGGCGGACAGGTGCGTGGAGACGGCGTAGTCGAGTTCTTCGGCGTCAAAGTCGAGGATGAAGACGCGGTGCGAGGCGGGGAGGGAGAGAAGGTGGCGTGCGGTGCAGCGACCTATGCCGCGCGCACCGCCGGTTATGATGATGTTTTTGGATTTTGAAGCGGGCATTTTGCTATATGTGTGTATTTATTTGCTGGTATAGCAAAAACCCAGGAATCAAATACTACTATCTAGACCTGGTTGCAGGTTTTGCAAAAAGCACATGCAACCTTCTTATATGTATGTAGTAGTACATGTCTCCAGAATGCCCGCTTGTTGGTGGCGCATGTGCTAGCCGTTGATATTGTGTGTGCGGGATTCGCCCTTTCAGGCTATTTTGCTCTCCCAGCCGCGCATGTAGCGTGGTGGAGTGCAACGGGAACGTTGGTGGTATGCATACATTAGCCCTGGGGGGTTGTGCGGGAACGTCCTGCATCGAGGTCCCAGTCTGGTACGTCTTGGAAGCAGGCCCGTGTATCCGCTTCTCACTGCCTCACGAGCGCAAATGAAATAGATTGACAATTGTTCCGATGGAAAGGCGGACCTGGATGCTAAGCGATGATTGAAGTGCGGAGAGTGTTTGGCAGACATGCGGAGTTCGGACAGGTGAGCCGCTGGAAGGATGCAGTTGTCTCACTGAAGATGGTGGTGTGCGGGGACGGGATATCTGGTCCCTTTCCTGGCCCGCTTATCGTGCATAGCTATGTTCCGCTGCGAACTTGTTGTCATGTTTTGATGGTATACTTTGGGTTTGATGATGGTAGGAATGGGAGTTTTACCGAGGGTAAAGTGAGCATTTTTGCCTATCATAGTCTGCTGAACATCTACATATGAAGTCTGGTGGATTACTGTCATGTGTCCTTTTCGTAGAAAATATGAAATCCTAAATCTCGTTCATGGTTATCTTCCATTGTTGATGCTGTATACTTCTGGTTGGTAGGTTGGATACGTATTATATACCTTCATTTTGGTTACAGATCCAGCTATAATACATTATCGTAGCGATCACGACTCATGACAACCGACAAATCTCAGTAACATCATCTGATCGCCATCTCCTCGTCCACTTTTTGTCCCGCACACTCCTGCAGTAAGCGGCCTTGTACATTCTTTGCAGCACGCGCGTAGGCAACAACATCTACATCTGTCTTCTTGCCATCGGGTCCGCCGTCAAACACCTCGTAACTGAACCACCCTCGGAATCCCGTTTTGAGTACTGCTCTTGCAACATCGACAACAGGTAGGTAACCGCCGTTGTATGGAAGCGGTCTAAAGTCGTGGCTCCAGCGTCCGCGAGGCAGCAGACCAGACTCATCGCGCTCAGCATTCATCGGCTGCGGTACCTTGTATGCATCGCTGATTTGCAGGAGATAAATCTTTTCCTTTGGGATACTGGTGCTGAGTTCTTTGAGACTCTTTTGGAACCGCTTCTCCAACTCATTCTTGAACACGTCTTCGCGTATGCCAGATGCAGTTCGGGGGTCTCCCCATTCGCCGCCAGCGGTCTGGAAAGTATCGAGACAGAGACCGATATTTGGGCGATCAACTTGCTGGACGATGCTCCAGACGTCTTTCCAGTCTGGAGCATGTGTCGACCAGCACCAGTTTTCGTAGGCGAGTCGGAAACCATGTTGATCGAGCATGTCGCATAGCACTTGGAGATCCGATACCATTTTGTTCCTTTCTAGTTTTTCAAGCGGCGTGTCGGTTGATCCAACTTGGAGCATGTCTGTTCCGCATGCCTGCATGATGCGTATCCAGCCGCGTGCTCTGTCCATGGCATCTTTGCGGCCAGGAGAGTCTTCGGGCCAACCTTCGTAGTTGGCAAATGGCTGGAGCATCATGATTCCTAGGTTCCTCTGGTCGCACTCTTTCTTGATATCAGCTGCCACTGTGCAGAGTTCATCGTAGTTGGATGGTTGCACCTCATGGCCGAGCAAGGTTTGGCCGTACGAAAGAATATCAGGAAATGAAAGCTCAACGGCAGAGAAGCCCGCATCAGAGATTGCCTGTAGGCGGTCAAGCAGAGGCGGAGGGTTTGATGGGCTGCCGAGCGAGCATGTCGCATAGCTGATGGGAATGGAAGCTAGAGAAGAGTAGTCGAGCCCGCTCATTGTGTGTATCTGAATTATCCAGGTGAGATGAAAATGACTGTTGACTGCTTAGTTTGAAAACCCATGGTTACTTATGAAATGGAGGGCGGTGCGACACGGCTCTTTCGGTATGCAACAGTTGTGACGTAGAAGTTGTGGAGTAGCGATGACGGCACTCCACAGCCTAGGCTCGACTGGTCCTACAAATTGCGACTGAGCAAAATCGCTGTGTGTGCTTAGTTGTCGCGTACATTATGGACATGAAGCATCAACGACCAGTGCTGCTCCAAAAAATAGCGCTGAATGATGATCGGAGCTGCCAGCCCCGTAGTCGGAGCAGTGTGACCGCCTCCATATAGCTGAGACTCGGTGGCCGGAGTGGCAGGGCATTTGTTTGCTCCATGACCATGCAAAACGACCGAAATCACAGCGAAATCACCAGCGTTGCGCATACTCAAAAATTGTTGTGCTGAAACTTGACGTCAGCATTGCTGGCAATTTCTATGCTACTGGTGTGTGGTATTGATGGACAGGTCTGGTTGGCTATTCCGAGAGCGGCCGCCACAGCCATAAAACAGTTTGAGCACATCGACAACCGACCAATAAGAGACGGTCCGACTCCGCTGTCATCACCAAAACATTCGACTCATAAAGAGGCCGTGGCGGCTGCATGAAAGAAAAAGAGACAGACAGTTTCACAGTCACTGCCCCAAATCTCTCACTTCTAGACATCGAGTCGTGGTTTCTCGCAGTCCAGTTCCACCGCCAGCATGTCTGTAAGTCTAGCACCCCGCGCCACCTGCCTTAGTTGTCATTCACTGTCTTCCTCTGTTAACACCTTACTGTAGTTCCACATTGAGAACCCAGCCGTCGGCGACCCGCACAACTCAGAAGACTGGCGCATTCGCGGCTACAATCCTCTCACCCCGCCTGATCTGCTGCAGAGCGAGATCCCTCAGACAGCCAAATCCCGCGACACCGTGCTCAAGGCTCGCGACGAAGCCGTCGCCATTGTCCAGGGCAAAGATGCACAGAAGCGACTGCTCGTCGTCATCGGCCCGTGCTCTATCCACGATCCCGCCGCTGCTCTCGACTACTGCGACCGTCTGCTGAAGCTCAAGGAAAAGTACCAGGATGACCTCCTCATCGTCATGCGCTCGTACCTCGAGAAGCCCCGCACCACGGTCGGCTGGAAGGGCCTGATCAACGACCCTGACATCGACAACAGCTTCAAGATCAACAAGGGTCTGCGCATCTCGCGACAGCTCTTTGCCGACTTGACGGAGAAGGGCATGCCGCTGGCGAGCGAGATGTTGGATACTATCTCGCCCCAGTTCTTGGCTGACATGTTCAGCGTGGGAGCCATTGGCGCCAGAACCACCGAGTCGCAACTGCACCGCGAACTCGCCTCTGGTCTGTCTTTCCCTGTAGGCTTCAAGAACGGTACAGACGGCACCCTTGACGTCGCCATCGACGCCATCGGTTCAGCCAAGCACCCCCACCACTTCCTCTCCGTCACCAAACCCGGCGTCGTCGCCATTGTCGGCACAATTGGCAATGACGACTGCTTCATCATCCTGCGCGGCGGCAAGAAGGGAACAAACTACGATGCAAAGAGCGTCAAGGAGGCGCGCGAGAAGCTCGAGTCAAAGGGTATGAACTCGCGCCTCATGGTTGACTGCAGCCACGGCAACTCGGAGAAAAACCACATGAACCAGCCCAAGGTTGCCCACGCCGTCGCCGAGCAGATTGAAGCCGGCGAGACGGCCATCATGGGCGTCATGATTGAGAGCAATATTAAGGCTGGTACACAAAAGGTGCCCAAGGAAGGAAAGGCTGGTCTCGAGTACGGTATGTCGATTACGGATGCGTGCATTGACTGGGAGACGACCGAGACAGTGCTTGAGGACCTCGCTGCAGCTGTGTCAAAGAGGAGGACACTTCTCGGCCAGAATGGCGCAAGCTAAAAAGACGCCAGTCTCTCTGTGGAAAAAAAAGGACACGGTAGGCGTGGCGTATACAAGGCATGGTGCATGGCGTTTCCCCTTGACTGTTCAAAAGCCGTTTGGATCAATGGCGAAAACGATGAATTATTACGATATTACCCAAATTAAAAGTTGATAAAACAGAGAAAAAAGTTATGCTACAAATTATAACTCTTCAATCTCGGGTTCCTGCACCTCTGTATCGTAACCCATGGCATGTCCTGGATACTTATCGTACCAATCTCCTGGGTTGCCCCCAGGCATGCATAGTCCCAGTCGCCAAAAGTAGTCGCGGTGGGCAAAGAAGAGCTGCCAGAACTTGAAGCGAGTGGGCACTCCCCACGCGGGTTTTTCTTCGTCGCTGCCAGCAATGCAGTGCGTGTCTTCATCTCCATTGCAGAAGTGAACATCAGCGACAGAAAAGGGTAGGCTAGACTCTGAGATGAAGATTTCTTCGCTGTGCATGCTGAAGCCCCATTCGGCTAGGGGCAACAAAGGCACGGGGTCGCCAACGTGGGTAACGCGGTGAATCTTATTATGCTGGTGGTTTGCCGTAACGTTGAAGCGCTCGTCAATGTATGCGTTGAACTCCTTGTTCCCTAGCCTCGGCTCTCCAAACGTTGTCACATGAGGATCCCAGCCACGTGCTTTGAAGTCCAGGCCAGCCAGAGTTGCTACAGCGCCGCCCAACGAATGTCCCACCAAGACCAGCTTATACTCCGGATACTTTTCCAGGGCCTCGGAAACATACGGTAGGATAACCCTGCGCGTGTTGAGCCAGGACGAGTAGAAGCCTGTATGAACGGTGCAATTCTCGCATTTCGGCGGTTCTGCCGGAGGAGCGTCACCCTCCGCAATACCCTCCGAGACACCGACTCGGGGGGTGAGAAAGTCCGAGTCACCGCTATCTGAATTGTCGTCGCCTGGATAAGGGATGTATTCCTGGGGTATGGTCGACAAGTCCGCAATAGTGTTTGCGATGGAATAGGTGCCACGGAACGCGATAATCAGTCGCGGTTCGGCAGGGTGGTGCGACAGGGCAATGTAGCCGCACGAGTCGGACAGGAAAGGACCAGTATTCCATGCCTACGTGCACACATATCAGCACATCAGTAATACGACGCATGCTGACGTGCAGCGACTCACCTTGACTAGATCAAAAGTCTCAAAGTCGCGGTCCGCACAGCGGCTTGCGCACGTAAAGGGCTTCTTTATACCCAGTCCTGCGGTACCGACACAGTAGGAGATGTCGACAATGCGCGCGAGTTCTTCGAGCTCCCAGAAGAGATGCTGGGGAATTATGGTGGCATTATTGCCAGTGGCTTTTGTTGGTCCGCGGACTAGCGGTTGCTGTGTCGCATCGCCCTGGGGGCTAGCGGCCCAGGACGTAACGAGGGTGAGATAGCATAGGAGAAGGCCGCGTAGAGAGCCCATCAGTAAGATGCTTCACATATCCCGTATGTAGAGCGGTGATGGAGGGTGGGCGTAGGCTTGGTGGTGAGGTCAGAGGACGAATGCGGACGTGATCAGGATCAATCAGAGTTGGTCGCGTCACCGCCGAGACGCCTAGACGGCGCCAAGCCATGGACCCTGAAAAAACAGCCTATGACATCACGGCCGCCGCTGGACGAGAGCCTTCTGCTGGTTCCATATCTGGGCCACGCGGGCTGCCCGCTGCTGACACACGACACACGACACAAACCCTCACCCTTACTTTATACTAAACTCCGCCTGCCCAAGACTCCGTCCCACCCGTTGGCTTCCGGACAAGACTCTCCCCGTTTCTTAAGTAATCATCACTCCCGGCCCTTCCGATTTTTTCTTTGCTCGAGGCCCAAATACCACCGCACTATCACCGGCGCCTTATTGCTACCACAACCATGGTTTCTGAACAGAGGTCGACAGACGCCTTGAGGGTGGCGGAGGACTCTCGCCCTACCACTGCAGACCGAACAGACACTGCGCCAGTACCAACCGTTCAGATTGACGGTGTAAGCGACGACAAGGAACAAGCATCAGACATAACCGCTGCCAATAACACAACAAGCCTCAACCCAAGCGCACAGCCAAGTCGCGCTCCATCGCCAAACCGACACGCTCTCTTCCCCCACACCCAAGTCACATACGATGACCCCGACTTTACACGTCCACCACCACTCAACTACACGCTGCGAACCCGCAAGAAGGCCATTTTCTGGTTCTGGACCCTCATCATTCTCGACTGCGTCTGCATGCCTATTGGCCTCTACTTTGGCATGTGGTACGGTCTCACTCGCGACCAATTGTCTGCCAATGCTGTCTTCAGTATCAGCACCGCCTTGCTGGGAACCGTGTCGATTGTTGAGTATTTCATCCGTTTCCACAGACTGTGGAGGAAGAATTCCAGCTGCCGCGTCATTGGAGCTAAGAGATGGTATCTCGACTGGTTTCACTGGAATTTGTCTGTTGGGTGGTTTTTCGTCATGATTGAGCTCATTGCGTAAGTTTTCTCCGTTACTATCTTCCATGGCATGATACTAAATCTTCGTAGCGGCACATGTCCCCACGACCCACCCATCCGACTCCTCGCTATGCCAGCATCAACCATGATGTTTGCAATTGGCGTTGAACTTCTCCTTGTCGACATTCTACGTATCATGAAGGTCCCTGCCCCTTGCCGTATCTCGTCGCTGCCACAGGGTGCCCCTCTCCGTCCCGGTATCTACGCCTACATTGAGGACATCTGCGCAGTGGATGGATCCGGCGGCACCGAGTTCCGCCAGCGATTGAACCTCCGATACCAGGCCAGTAAGGCGTTCCGTGAGATGCTCCACCGCTTGACGCTCTTCTGGGCCATTGGCGCCATCGTCGCATCTGCCGTCTGCACAGCCATCATCTTCACCATCCAGCGTGACGCTGCTTACGTGGTATGTTTTAACCTCTTACGCCCTTGCAGCCTGCTTTTTGCTAACTCAAAATAGGTCGGCTGGGTCGTACCATTCCTCTGGGCAGGTATCTGGGCCGCCATTACCATCAAATGGGTCCAGCACGAACTCAAGCGCGAACACGAACAATGGACCACGGCTCAATACAAACTCTAGAGAGCTTTTTCTCCTTTCCGAACACCCCCTTTTTTGTTGTTCGAATAATCCAAGGAACAAGAATTGCATGCATTACTAGAGAATCAGAAGATTGGTAATTATTTCAAACGGGGGATTGATGGGCGTTTGTAGCCACATCATTGAGTCACTGTCTTTTTCCGTTTTTTCGATTATGAGTGTTGATGAAAGAAACAGCGAGATACCACTTCTTTTTTTTTTGCGTACGCGTATGTAGAATATCCACGTTTCATCGGCTTGGTATTTTTTTCTCACGTCGTGTTCTCAAGTCTTTTCGCAGCTTGAAAGTGATTTGTGACATCACACTGATTAAAGAACGCGCGTTGTGTGTCGTGTTTTTGGGAGCTGCTAATCTCAAACAACAGCTACGTAAGTCCCCCTCCCCGCAAGATCGATCGTTGCAGATCGCACGGTTCGATAACATCATTTCTACGCAATGCCCAACTTGACGGGCGGGATGGGGGAGGCTAAGCTTTTGCACATGACATTATCCAAGGCTTTTTCTCCTGCTCATTAGCCTAGTTTGGGGTTAGGACGGAATCCTTTCAATCGGCTCAGACCCTGATTTTAACGGGAAGAGCCTGGCCATCCACTAATAAGGTGATGAAGTAGTAGTATAGAATTGTTATGCATGCACCAAGGACTTGGGTATCAATTCACATACATATTTACAGCTACTCTTCCAACTCTTCCATCTTGGTATCCCCATTTTCCTCCGTCGCCGCGTACCCACTCCTTTTGCTCTTCTTTTCCCCCTTCACCCCAACCTTGACAACCTCCACATCCCAACTCTCCATATCAACAAGCACGATCTTGCCCGTGGTCCGGAACTTCGGTACACTAACAATCAGCACCTTCTGGCCCGCCGGGTCTTTTATAATTTTCTTATCAAATTTCTTTTGGCAGCCGGCAATGTACATGTGTGGGCATTCAGTTAACATAAGGGGATCGTGGTCTTGGAAGGGGTAGCACCAGAGAGTGTCCGGAGCAGTGGGGGCCACACAGCGCCAGCGGAGCATCATTTCCATTGCGTCGACCGATTTGACGTGTTCGAAGTATTTTAGTAGGTCTTTGACGGTTTGGCCGCCCGTGCTGAGGACACGGTAGCCGTCAATGTCGCCGGTCCAGGGGTTTGTTACGGCGTCGAAGCCATTGAGGGTTTCGTTGCTGGCGATGGGGGGCTCGGCGTAGAGTCTGGTGTTGGGGAAGAGCGCAGGGTGGAGGGGCTGTTGGGGGAGGGCGACGTTTGCGGGGTCTGATGCGCCTGGGAGCATGGTGATGGGGAGGGTAGGGAGTATCTCGCAGAGAAACTCGTCAAGGCGTTCAGTTGGTGCTGCGTTGTATGATGAAGCATCATATCCGTAGTGTCTGGCTGCGCTCTTCTTCGCAGCAAAGTCTTCTCGTGTTAGGATTGGTGAGCCGCGTGCTAACGAGCCTCCTGCTATCATTAGGCGTGTTATTTTCGAGACATCTTCTTGTGTTGATGGGTCTGCCATTTCTCCTGTCAAATATTCCACGAGCAGATCCAACGCCACCTCATCGTCATCTGCGCCTGTAAGCTCCAGCCCAGACACAATGGCTAACTTTCCAGCGGGCTCGCGTTTTGGTATGCTTTGCTTTTCCTTTGAGAGGGCTATGTCGTCACGTTCCCAGCGCGGCGGTTGTCTCGGTAGGTCAGCGCATTGTGTTGCAATGACTTTGAATGTGCCATCAGCCTCCTCCGTACCCAACGCTGCAAGTATACACCCTGTGACAAAGTGGCCGTGCAGAGGCTCGCCTGTGACCCGAAGGCGTCCCGACTCATCCTCGAGCATCATCTCGTCGCCGCCAGAGGGAGATATGTAGGTATCGCGTTGAGGGGGATCGGCTATCCAGTGCTGAGGGCTATTAGATTCTTATTTCTCGAGTCTTGGGGGGAGGATTGTACATCTTTCCCAATATCGTCCAACACATTCGGCTTCTGTGCCATTTCCATGTACACTGTCCCTACTACCCAGCACAGTTCGCCTTGTCGCACATCAAGCACACGGTCAACAAAGCTTGCTTTCTGTCCACCCAACTAAACCTGTGTCAACCATGCAAGACTGGCAATCCGGTATAGCCCCGCAGCCGAACAAACCATACCTCGAAGTTGTGCCAGGCTTCCTCTGCTCTCTCTTTAACCGTCTTCTTCAGTTGCATCAGACGTAGGAAGTACATGTCAGCGAATTGTTGTGAGTAATGCCTATCGGTGCCTAGCGGTAGTACGAAATGATGGAGCGGGTTGTATGCAGATGCATTTCGTGATGGTGGGAGCGGTGCATCCTCACTGGTGTTGTTGTTAACAATTTTCTTTGAGGGGCAAGATGGTCTTACAAAGGCTCGCCTTGGAGTAGGCTATCTTGTAGTTTGGTCATCGGAGCTGTGGTGTAGTGAAATGAGGAGAATTACAATTATCTGAAGTTGGAAAGTTGCGTATTCCGAAAGTCGCGTCGCGCGTCATTTCGCGCCATCCCAAACAGGAAATTCAAAGGGTCCCATCCTACCAAGAACCGTGTATATTTTTCACAATAAAATCAACATCAGGGTAAGAATACAATGGATTCACAAGCCCTTTGAAGTCACAAAGTTCTGATTTGGTGTGGATTTGATCTGATTTGATTGTTTCGGCCTTCTAGACCATAGTAAATCCAACCCCGTCGACTGCCTTCTCTATAGACTTCTGGGCCATCAACAAGTTCCAGGCCTTTCATCTCTTCTTAAGGATATCACTTCTCTCTATATCAATTCTTCGTTGCATGCAGGCTGCAATGTGCCTCCATGCTGGTTATTTCATGTTGTATAATCCCAAAAGTCGTAGAAACGCCGAATATCATGACCATACGCCAAATTGTAACTCGCTATAACTATTAAACATTGATGACAAAACAGGACATATTGTTGATGGTGTTTAAAGCATCTAAAGAAGTGTTAGCGAGAATCTCCTGTATGTGTGGGATAACGTAAACCTACCAGAGCAACACCACCAGCAACAATGAGACCGAAAGCAGAGCCGGCTATGTGCGAAGCGCCTCCAGTGAAGGGGAGGGTCGATGAAGTAGGCATCGCGTTGGTAGGAGAGCCAGCGCCAGTGCCGGTAGGGTATGGTGCCGAGGTGGCTGTGCCATTTGTAGGAACATATGAGGCAGAGGCAGTAGCGGCGAGGGCAGCAACAACGGAGATGATAGAGAAACGCATGGTGGCTTTGGTTGGAGAGATGATTGTTCAGTGGTGGATTATCGAGGATTAGGTGATTGAGATTTAGTAGCTGAAGACTGTAATTGTAGACTTGGTGTGAATGAGGAGGCTTTAACTTGTCTGTTGACGAAGGTAACTCTTATATCCCTCATGGCTCAATCCAAATATACAACCATCCCCTAAAACACATTCTAGCCATCCCCACACGCGTACGTACGACAGCCCACATCCCAGCCATCGGCTGCCCAGCCCTACGAAAGCTTCGGCCCCACCGAAACCAGGAGATGGCCACTCGGGAGCTTGTCGGGAGCCCGTTGCACGAGGCTGGAAACATGATGGCGAGGGCTATAACAGGAATTGCACATTGCTGAGCGTGACGGACGTCACAAAGCGGCTGGTCCGGAGACGTCCGGAGGAGGCTGGTGGCTAATTTTAGCATCCCCAGCCACAAACACCGCCTCCTAAATTGACACTCAAGTCATCTCATTCGCTGCTGTTTGCATTTTGTCGACAACCTATCGTTAAGGGCTCTTCCTATCGCTCACCATACAGATCTCGTTACTGTCACGATAGGAAAAAATTCGAGGCGATAGATTGCAAGATGGCTGGGCTTGCGTGGCCATCATCTTGGAAAACTGCTCTGTGTTGACGACCCACCGCCTTGACGAAATTGTATGTTCCGTCTCACGAAACAATCAATACCTCTCCTGCTACTGCTTACGCAACTCTACAAATTCGTTTCGATTGCGTTGGCTGTTTTGTCTGTAGGCCCGCTATTCATGTCCGCCCCCTGCCGCCGCGATGCAACGTTGGCGCCGAAAGCCACCGAAGCTTAATAAGTACTACGTAAAGTCGCAAGCAGTTCCCGAGCCGCTGACCAGGGGGTCGTTGCATCTGCACTCTAGACTGCCCATGTGTTCTTACCTAGGCAAGAGCAATCTAACCGCCTTAACGATGGAATGAAAAAAGCAGCGAAATTACTCCGATACTTTTTTAGGAAGACTGAGGCCGAACAACAGGTTCCAACCAGCTACGTCACGTGACTATATGAACTGCCAAGACTGCCTTGTTGGTGATTTCCTAAAAGTCTCCATTTACCGTTACTTGGCCTCAATATTCCATCCGTGGCGCTCAATCAGTTATCACCGATTAGCGAACTCTTTGTCGCAGGATTCCTGTGCAGCCGATTGGTTACGCTGCTGTTTCAACCAACCGAAAGTTGGTATAGTTGTAGTGGTGCAGAACTGTAAAAATTTGGCATGAGAATCTTAGTAGATTCGCCACTACTATAATTGACAGAGTGTCTTTGGTTAGTTTAGACCCCTGCTTGAGAACAACAGCTCATGGATACACTGTAGTTATACAATATCTAGACAGCAGACGCGAGTGGTTGGCAACAAGAGTGAACATAGGCAAAAAAATCTATTCACGGTGTTACACCTGAAGCTGAATAGGGTTTGACTGGTAAGGTTGGCTAATTCGGGCCGAAGGGGGTCAAAGAGGGTCGGTCTTTGACAGCTTGATGGAGTGAGCACCACGAGCACACGGTCTCCTAACGTATGTATCGATGCATTATGCTGCAGACATTGAACCCTAACCGGCCTGGCACCACTCAATATTCAAGCTAGAGACGGTCTGTATATATGATGATCGTTCACTGCAAATGGATAAACCCTGACAGTTGTACGTGGTAGGAGTACGCGAAGCAAAGATCTATATACGAGTGTGGGGCGCCAATGCCTCACCGCTCGCCTCAGCAGCAAGATCATGATTAAAGCTCGCTGCCCCTCTTAGTTGTGGTCTGATCGAATTTTCTGTCGATTAGTATTGGCACAATATATGCCAGACAGTTGAGCTGATAAAACATGGACATTGAATACACCTCAGCATTGGACACCTTCCTGTTCTGGTAGCTCGGGGCTAACTGAGACTTCCAAGAATCTAGTGTGATGACTATTTCCATGTCATCTTGCAGTCCGTGGCCAGGATGTGGCATACATGGCGCATGTTGAGGATTTTGCTAGGGAATAATCACATCCAAGCACACTCCAAGGTTCTTTGACAGTATATTGAAAATTCAGTTTGTTTCGATAGTCATAACCTAGAACGGCATTGATATTTTCGATGTAATGTGTTGCTGAAGCGATATGGCAGATGGTGTCTAGATCAAATGATAGTAAGGCATGATTGTGATGCTCCGTTGACTTTGGGACACGTTTTTACCTAAGCGCAACCAATGCGATCACCTAAAGAATAAGATAAGCACTAGCAAGGCTTCTGTTCGGCAAATAGCTGGTTAAGTTCTACAATGACTTATTAGTCAGATTCTCTCACTATGATCCTGAACTCTCCAAAGCGCAGTCATTAAGTCAATCGTAAACCATCATCTATTGTCCCATCTAAAAAAACCGAGAGTACGTAATCGTGAACTTTGAGAATGCAGCAGTGCGATCTTGAATTTTGCGTGAGATGGAAATTTGGACACGAGCCTATGCGAATGGAGTGGCTCATCACACACTAACGCAGCTCTCAACTACATGTCACTTCGTACTACTACCAAATCCAGCATTGTGGTCTGTGCTGACTCTATCTCGTCTCTCGGTCGACCCATAACGTTGGAGATAAGATTACCCAACACCACCAGTATTATCATACTTATCTTTCACTTGGGCATAGACAATGCAGATTTAGAGCATTTATCCAGTCTACATTCTATTAGAAGTTGTATTGCGGCGGTACTGATACTTCGTAGTAAAGATTGATCGTTTCGGTGGGCTAGCCCGCTTAGCCTGAGTTTTCCGGTTTTACTGATCGAATGAGAGCTCGTGCAGAAGTAAGCTAAGAGTACGTATTTAGTCTCCACTCTACATCCTTCCGGGCTATTGCGATGCATCATGCGTTGTACAAAAGAGTACAGAAATGTCAGGGTGATCAACACGGAACGGGGGGGCGGGGGGATGCGGAAAGTGGGGTTACTAGTCCTAGCTCGCTGAGTCGGTATGCGGATTTCAGAAACGGTAGATGTAAGCAGGTAGGGGGCTGGGCGCTTCGCCGGAGCCAGTCTGCAGCTTTCATTTCGTGTCACAGTGGAGGACATGCCGTGCTTACAAAGCTACATAGCAACGCCTCTCAACAAGGAGTGGTTTTTACTGCGTAAACTACCGTGTTGTCTCTCTGCGCATAGCGTAGAATCCTAAGTCTCATAAATGTACAACAATATCCTAGGATATGTCCAACTCATCTCCTCAAGATATGTATGTACGTCGTTTACAGTACCTTTTTCATACGAACTCCGGGTATTATCTTAAATCGGCTCGGTTCGTGGTTTCCGCTCACCATCGAAGTGTCTCAAGTTCGGCAGTCCTGTCTTCTTTGAGACTCCTGGCTGCATGTGCAGCTGGAGGCCACCTCTTGTGTTCCACCATGTCTTCGATCTGCCGTCATAACAAAGCCTACGCCGCCAATCGATACGACTATTCCTCGTACATATGTCTAAAAGGGGTTCTGATCGAGATCGCCTTAACCTTATGTCTGTAGCAAGTCTCTTTCAGCATGTCGTCTGGTACGATTGAACCGAAGTTTACAAGCTCGAAGTTCCGGTAAGGACACATGACAACGTTTTCCTTGTGGTGTGATCGAATGATCATTACATAGACGAACGAATTGGGTTGTCTGACTGCGCAACCGCTGGTCCATTCCTTAGATTCGATATGATCAACTGGGCGTCTAGAGTGATTGGAACTCCGGAGTAGAGTTAACGATTGGCGTCTGATTCAATGAAGATCCTCGAGATCACGAGAAGCTTACGTGGTGCTTTCAAGGTTTAGTGCCAATCGGCTTTGCCGGATTACCAACCGACGGGCGGGACGGATAGAGCCGTCTCCCCCGTTGGTCGTGTTGACGACGGGAGAACCCACTCGACCACAAATCGCCTAATTCCTACCAAGATCTACGTTTGAACAGCTGTAGACTCGGAGCGTTACAAATGCTACTTAATTCCCGTGTACAAGTTGGGAATAGGAGTACTTTAACGTGGGGGCGTGGAAACTGGTAGAGATAGGCCTGATGAAGGAAAAGTTCGAATTCAATACCGGACATGCTAGCCTTGGATAGTAAAGCTAACATCACATCTTTTTCTTATAGTGTCCACCTAGAGTTTTAGGTAGTCTGATTTAACAGCCCGTTGAGCTGTTCTTTTATTGCTACGACATTCTAAAGCTTTGTTATAGTCGGAAAGCTCCTTAAAACATCTAGATCAGCTTGTTTGTCTTACTAACTTTGCTTCAGTTTTATAGATCTCTGCAAGAGGTGTGTGAAGAAAAAGATATAGAATCTCTTATTCTATCCGAAGAAAGTGGTAAGAGCAATGTTTAGTAGGGACACAGATGGTTACTGGGTTAAAAACTAGTGCTCAAAGTGAGATATGGCACGCGAGCTTGGGTAGCAGCCATGTTGACTGATTTGGACTAAAATACAGCTGATCCAATGTATCCGGAGTGTGGTCTAGCATAACCTACGTATTAGACCCACATTACATGCATTTCTGCTCAATCACCCCACGAAACTCATAACCGCCGAGTCTAGTCACTTTGGGAACTAGCAAACCTAGTGAATATGATAAATAAGCCTTGAAAATGAAGCCATCTATATAGAACCCCACGAGATTCCACACATCTCGAACAACTGCTTATGCTAGCACAAATTTATAATGGAAAAAGATTACACGAGTAAGACCGACGCAAAGGAAAAGAAAAGAATCCAGAACCGTATAGCTCAACGAGTGCACCGTATGTTATACCCTAAGGTTGTAACGCTTCAAGATGTAGTTTCTCACAATGGGCGATAGGTGAAAAGCTAAAATCACGCATCCGTGAGCTAGAGCAGCAGCTTGAGCTCGTCACTAGCGCTTCAGCAAAGAACGATACATCGAAGCCGTGGCCTTCATGTGGCGATTCGATATCGACATGCGCAGTACCAGGAGTATTGACGACAACGATCTTTGAGGCTGTGTCAGACGAATCAGGTACCAGCTCCAGCGACATCACATTTGTCGGTGATCATGCCCCAAAGTCGCTGTCAGGGTCGGAAACTGCCGTTGAATCAGGTGCGAACACAATCTCACCAAGTAGCATTATTGCTCAGCTGGATACATTGCCCCAGACCTCAGTAGAGAGTCAATGTATTGACCTTGAGTGGCTTCTGTCAGATTCCTGGCCATCTAAAACCGCGTCAGAACGCACTACAGACGCCTTGTTGCTGATAGAAAGAGGGTCCAAATTCCTAGAACACAACCCAGGTCCGTTGGATACGTCGTCCCCGCAACATCTTGGCTCACCAGGTTACATTCAGGCCAGCACCAGTAACGGCCACTTATCTCACAAGATGATGACAGTACCAACTGTTAAAAATCATGGACACGAAGCACTGCGAAGGTCCGGTGGTACAGAACTAGAGCGGCTCAGCCTCCTAGTAGAATGCAGCAGACGACTCGGCTTCAACGATTTGAATGAAGCGTTGTCAGTCTACTATACGTCGGATTTGAGCGGATCAGCAGTGTTGTCACATGAGCAGTCGCTTAATCGAGTTAAGCAACTCCCTAACTTGCTTTCTAAGATCAGAGAGCATTCGAAACAATGGCCAGCTTGGGAGCGGGCCAATTACGTCAGGGAGACGCTGACAAGTGCTGAAGAGGTATACGCTGAGGAATGTAGACTCGCGAGTATAAGTTCAGCGAATCAAGGTATAGGTTTGACATCAAAAGAATTTCAGGTGGGTCGGACGGTTCAGATCACGCGCGCTCTACAACAGGAGGTTTGTTCTGCACTTCTAGCTTCTACTGATACAAGAAATACTGATACATCGTTTTTGAATTAGATCCCAAATACCTGGGCCTTGATCACGAGTATTATACTGCACACATACACTACTGAGGAGCCACAACCATCACAAGCTATATTGCTGGTCATGATGCTGCTATGTTGCCGTAGTCCTGATTCAACGAGCACACCTGAACTTTGCCAGGAGTACCTATTTCCACATAGCACGAACATCAACGTATCGGATAATCTTCATTCTATGGCAAATTGAATGACTGGAGCTCCTCTTCGGCACTTTTATAGTAAAAGTCTGGTAGCAACTTACTTCCTAGCTACAAAATGATTTCGTTAAGCCCATGGTCATGATTATGATTGTCTATGAATTGAGATAACACAGTGGCTCAAATCTCTCATCCCACAAATCTTGATCTGCTTGCTAAAAATCTGCCAAACTCAACCCAATACCCTTGGATTTTGCAAGTTGCAACAGCTTTTGTCCTACTGCAATGTCCATAACACCTACTCCAACGCTTTTGTAAACGACGAACCCGCTTCTGAGCCATTCAGAATACGCAGAAGCAGCACCGTTGGATCCTATAACTTGTCCGACCTCTAGCATCTTACTCGGGTCTATACCTGCGCTGACCAGTTCTCCAGCCTCATGCAGACAACCTTCGCGGGTATCAACTACGACATGCCCTTCCCAAACTTTCTGGGAGAATATTCCAGAGGGATCCACTATAGTCTTGAGGAGTTCCGGATCGATCTCTGCCATGTCCAGTCGGTATGAGCCGATAGCAGCGATGTATCGAGCCTTGTCCCGAGATATCTCAGAAGTGAGAAATTTCGCTGGAAAAAGAGGTTCGGTAGATGGAGTGGTACAGAATATGACGTCCGCAGCTACTACCACATCCTCGAGATTTTCGTTGCGTTCATCAAGTTGACACAATTTGATATGTGATGGCCAAGGCGAAGAGGGGTTTCCAACAAGGTTTGCGACTAGCCCTTGTGTTCGCTCGCGGCTCCGATTAACGATAATGATCTTGCGGATATCCTGCGCACGTAGCAACACAGCTAGACGAATATGCCACTCCGCTTGTTTCCCTGAGCCGAAGACGACAATGTTACCAGTGTCCTTACGAAACTGGTAGAGAAGCATAGATCCTAGGGCTGTTCGGAATGCCGTAAGCTCAGCAGCATTAAGTATACCAATAGCTTCGCCCACAGAATTACACAAGGTAAGGACGCTGCATATCCCTGGCCGTGGTGGTGATGCCTTCGACGAGGCGACAATGGAATTGGAAGAGTCCGTAATGCCTACAATTTTTACACTGATTGACTGTGGTGTTGTGGCGGGCATGAACAGGCTTCTGTTCTCGTGTGTCCGAGAAACAACAGCACGTTCAGGCTGAAACTGCTTCTCATTCTGGCTCGAGTAAGCTGCAAGAACTTGCTCCAAGCCAGTAATGAGTTCGTGCGTATCTTTCGGGGTGAGTTCGCTCAGTAATTGTTTGACATTACGATCAGTTAGCACAGTGAAAGCCATGACGCTTGCGGAAAGAACAGTCGGTACGTCAATCATAAAGTTGAAGAGAACACAGAAGCCAATTTTCTATATAATACCATCCTTATCGAGAAGGCGTATTATGTAATCGCAAAAAACGCCTGCAAACGGGTCAATCAAAGATGGGTCTCCCTGACTAACATGCTGACCACTCGCCGAGATCCGTCACTTGATATTACTAAGTAGAAGACGTGAATGACTAAATTCGATTTTCTTGTGACTAAGACAGTGACCCAAGACAACAATAGAACAGTTGTGTTAAAAATAATATTCTCTAACATGTCGTCGGATGTGACATCCAAATTCACTTCCACAATGACTATGAATATGCTATTGCTAATGTATTCTGTGCGCTAGAAGCAGGTACAACCCATACTGATACATCTGCCTTGACAACTAGTGAGCGTAATAGTATATTTCCTCTTGGAGGACTCATGGCTCGTATGATTGTAGGAGATCGCGGACATGCCTCTGATACGTACAACCTCAAAGCGCCAAAATATATCGAGGAGCTGGTAGCCAATGCCGTCTGAGTTCATATTTCTTTCAATGGTTGCACCATACCTCACAGGAAGAGTTTTGACACCCATCCAAGCGGCCTAGCTCAAGCGTCTTATGCCGTATTTATCTCGCCAAAACATTGTGCGCATCACTGAAACTTAAGCTCTTCTAAATTAGCGCTATCATTGAGCCGTTGACTATACTCTTATCGCTGAAAAGGGTCTTTTGTACGAAGATATGAAAAACTGATGAACAGCCATAATATAGAACGGCGTTCCTGGGCAATAGGACAACATACTCTGACAAAATATCCGTGGACTGATTGAAGCTCAAGTACTAAGAAGTAGACTAAGTACAAACCCTTCACTACACATGATGCGGGTAAACTCTGAATAACATAAGTGCTTTTTCAACGAAAAGTTGGAATGTAACATCAGCGCTCACAGCTATACATGGCTACGCATCCCTACAGGTACTCCCAGCGATTACTAAAGCCACCATCTGCCTCTTCAATGATGCCTGGTTGGGACTCACCATCTTTTCCTTTGCTCTTGAGATCCAGACGGTTGATTTTGAACTCGTCTAATGCATATTCTGAGTGCCCTTTCAACACCATGTCCTTCAGGGCCCTGCCAATCAACGGTACAAACTTCATCGCCCAACCGGCAGTAAACAATGCTACACTATCTTTTGCACCACCTTGGAGATACTGCTCTGGGATATAGTCTAGTACGAACATGTTGTATGGTAGATAGTCAGCTTTTGAGTTTGTCAGTACGTGAGAATACATACCGAAAGTATTTGTCTGCAGACAAGACAAGGTATACGCGGGCGTTATGTGATCAACCCCAATCAAGTGCTTTTCAATAAACTGTTGTGTATCATGTATATCCTCGGGATTCACAACGCTGCCACATCTTTGATTGGGGTCTTTGATCTGCCTTGTTGCTGCATCGACTGCAATTCGACACACATTGGGTGGACCCCACTCGACTGTAGGAAACCCATAGAACAGCCTCGACCTGCCATGTTCGTTCTTTGCAAACTGAAACCACATACCTGAGAATAATTAGTAGCTTGATGAACAGATTTCGTCTTCACCTACTTGGAAAATGGGTTCCGTGAGGACCGGCATTCACCGTGAAGTATGATGCTACCATCTCCCAGATATTAAGCTTCAGCTTGATATTGAAGCTAGGTTGCAAAATGTGGTTTGTGTATGCACCTGCCGCTATGATGATTTTTCGAGCCCTGAATGAAACAGCTTCATTACCGTTCACACGTGTCTCGACCTTCCATATGTCTTCACCATTCTCTTTTAACGGGATAAGCATTCTAACCTCGGTATATTGCTGAGTGTGAGCACCATAGTCTTTGGCCAGGCGTGCAAGCGTTCGAACGAGCAAAGGAACATTGATCACGCCATTATCTGGAGCAAAAATTCCTTCCCATGATTCTGGAAGGTTTTTGAATGGGTACTCGTTCTCCATATCTTGTTTCGTCACTAACAACACATTAGCTCAGAGGGTTTGGATATCAATTCAAGCACATACTTTTGCGATAAGGCAAACCCAAGCTTTCTAGATTAGCTATAGGACCCATGAGCGTCCCTAAAGAATGCTTAGTCTTGGTATTAGATATCAAAAATCTTGAAGTCGAACCTTCAGGGGTATTCTCTCCCATTGTAGGATCTCCGAAGTTGAGTAGCCCTGACATTGTGCGCAGCGACGTTCCAGAGTCCCTTTCTAGTTCTTTCCAAATGCTCATAGACTTATAGGCAAGCTCCGCCATGAACGGCTCAGTGTACCTTCATCTTGTCGTTAAGCACAAGTTTCTCAATCAAGTTGTCTAACGTACTCATCTTACATTGTGCGATACATCCTGGCGAGGTCATTGGAGCTTCCAGCCGAGTTGAACAAACAGCTCTGCTCGAGTACCAGAGTGGACTTGCCTGCCTTGGCTACTTCGTATGCAGCCCCAAGCCCGATCGCGCCACCACCAACTACGATCACATCATAGAGTTGAGATGGCATGGCTCTTGTACACAGTAAGTTTATTTGCTGACAAATAGCTCAGCCCAATATTCGAATAATGGAAGATGCTGGAGAATAGACGCGTATATCAATAAATTGAGTTCAGACGCCAGGCCGACACAGGTGAGTGTCGGTTGGACAACCTAGTTGAGGTGGATCGCTCCCATTGTCTCAGTCTCCACGGCCTTGCTCACGTATTACTAAGACACCAACGTTCGGAGATATGAGATTCAATACCGCCGATACCGTCTGCATTTCTGACTCAGTGTCTTAATATACCTATGAAACTTCCTGTGCATGAAAAGAAGCACCAAGTTGGGCATAATACTCTGAACAGATCCTCGGCACACTCGTAGTAGAATGTAAGCAACCGTACTGACTATCTTGGCCCCACCCGCGAAACGAATCATCGTCTCGCCCACATCTTTTGAATTATTCATTTTTGTCTACATCCTTGTCGTTCCCCTTCAAGATAATGTCCGATGCTTAGTTGTGCCACGCCACTTGTGAGGCCAGCTTACTCAATACATCTTAGTGCTCCAAATATATTATTCTCTACCTTTCACTGCTCCTAGGTGGGGCATTGAGATCACACGAACGTTAACAGGAGAAATTATATGAAAATTGTTCAATTCATAGTGAGTCAATTCTCAAAAACATGGTTTCGCCAACTATGAGCACAGGCAGCGGTGACATTCGCTCAAGATGGGCGTCGAGGCTTATCAGACAGAATATCTTCGATGAGCTAACCAACCTCACGAAAGGGAATGTCTGTAATCAGCGGAAACAAAATCACCCATCAAAAGTTTCACAAACAGGATGCCTTCAATTCTCAGCTCCTCATTTGAGTGGTCTCTTCGACACAATCCCAACAGGCCCGTTCGATCTCCCGAAAGACATTGTGCAAGAGTATGACCAAATCCCATCCATGAATCCCGATGAATCGAGTGTCAAGCACAGAATCTGTATTGTCGGTGCTGGCATCAGTGGCCTATTTATTGCCATGATTCTGGACAGCTTGGAGATTCCTGGTCTGGAATACGACATCCTGGAAGCGTCGGACAGGACGGGAGGGCGCATACACTCTTATTACTTCTCCGATGCTCCACACGACTATTACGATTGCGGAGCCATGCGATTTCCAGATATCGACATGATGAAGTCGGCTTTCAAGCTATTTAAGCAGTTGCATCTTCCGATCATCCCATATTTCTTTGACCAAGCGAGTGGTTCTGTTAAATGCCCGACTATGTTCAATGGCATAACAATGATCGATGGTGAGCCACGCAGTTCTGATCCATTCCGTGTTGGCAAAGCAAACGGAGGTTCCGTCCCTGATTCGAATGTTGACGACGTGAACAAACTGCTCAATGGCTTCTTTGATCCTTTTAAAAGCATGATGACTGGAAATTTTGAAGCAGGGTTTAAGACTCTCATGGAATATGATGGCTATACCACTCGCCAAATCCTGCAAAACCCACCCACTGCTATCGCCGGTCCGACAACCTTAAAACCTTTGGACTTCTTCACTATCCAATGGCTGGAGACTAATAACACGGGTAGCGGCCTATTCGATAGGGCATTTTCAGAGTCGGTGATGGACTCCTTCGATTTTACTGGGTATGGAAAGCAAGCTATCCAATGGTACTGCATAGACGGAGGGTCTTCGCTTCTAACACGGTCCATGGAGATGGCCATCAAGCAACCTGTGCAGCATGGGAAACAGGTGAGAGGCTACACTCAAAATCCAGAAACCAAAGAGATTATGGTTCGTGTTGCCGGGGAGCACGAAGGAAGCCGTCTTCCTTACACTACAGTTTTCAACACAACTAGCTTGCCGTGCCTGCAACGGATGGACTTGACCAATCTCAATCTACATCCTAGTCAAAAGGATGCGATCAGAAGTTTGTGCTACGATGACAGCACAAAGGTGTCCATGAAGTTCTCGTATCCATGGTGGATAACAAGATGTGGCATTACAAGCGGCGGGGAGGCCACCACCGACACACCCCTACGCAAGTGTGTGTACCCATCTTACAGCGTTCATGATCCGCAAGATCAGCCGGCCGTCCTGATATGTAGCTACACATGGTCTCAGGATGCGACGCGCATCAGTAGCTTAATCACGCGCCATGAAGACGAGCTTCGTGACTTGATACTGGATCAGCTTGCACGGATACACCTCAGAAACTTCCAGCAGCAAACTCCCACTTCTTATCATGGTTCAACTACACTTGAAGAGGTTCATCAGGTCATCGGCGATGCCTACATATCACACCATGCTTGGAACTGGTCGCAAGACCCGTTCACTTCGGGCGCTTTTGCTATGTTTGGACCCGGCCAGTTCTCGAACTTTTATCCATATCTCGTACGTCCAGCGGCAGACAGCCGTTTTCATATCTGTGGGGAGGCGAGCAGTGGACACCATGGGTGGATCAGTGGTAGCTTAGACAGTGCACTTGCTAGTGTACACAAGTTTTTGAAAAGATTTAATATGTGGGAGAAGCAACAAGAGTTGAAGGCTCTATGGGATATGCCATCAGAGGTGGAGGACGGGATAGACGGTACATTGCATCTTCAGGTTGCGTTAGGCATGGTTCCGACGAGCGATATGGTTTGGCAAACAACAGTTGGACTGGCGCATAATGAAGACGAAGTTACACGAGGTTGTGTTGTTTCATAGCAGGTACCTATGATTTTTGAAATCGAAAATAATTCTCTATTTTGTCAATTTATGAAAATGTTTAGCTAGAAAATACACTCTCCATCCATAGAACGTCTGTGTCGGTATCTGTGCACTCCTGAATTCCATGATTGAACGAGCATCCAAAGCTAATTGCACAATCATCTTATACTAGGATGAAGCAAGTCTCGAAGATGAGGACAAGACGGCAACTGTTCTAGCACTTTCGACCAGCGCATCTGGTCACACCGCTTTTTGAGCGCTCACTTTTCAGCACCCACTCATAGGCTTTTCTCGCCGTTCGCTACTCTACGGAGATGGATAAACTGGTATATGTGTCGAAGCCGCATTGAGTCTAGGCCATTTTGGTAAACAGGCCCAAGAAGATTGTCAAATCATCAGCAGTAGTAGCTTATCCCCCATCACTAAATCAAGGTTTCTACCCAAAAGTCGTGAGTCAGGATTTGGTTTAGCTCGAGTTATGTATTAGTAATACCAGTGAGGGCATTACTCAGCCTTGATCTTGATATTACTCATAACACTCGCGACTGACCAGAAAACCGCAATACTAGGGCAACCTCTTTGCGACATAAGCTCTAGAGTGTACATTGATTGACAAGCACATCAAATTAAGGCATCATGGCGACACTGCACTCGGGCTATGCGGATAAGCCTGAATCTTTGCTCGAGTCAGCCGCATCTCAACACTCGCAGTCCATCGAGCCTAGCAATCTTGATCATTTCCCCGAGAAAACGACGGAGAAATTTCAAGAAAAACCTGCAGATTCAAGTGTTGCTGCTCCTGCTCCAGCGACGACGGAGTCTGCCGGTACGACGGCAGCATCGAACCCTCCTCACAGCTCGAACATCCAACCCAACGGTGTCAACCCACACCAGCATGAAGTAGATTCAGCAGATACTGATTCATCGCTTCCACCCGTCGATACAGGAAAAGATGCCTGGCTGTTCCTCCTCGCAGCCTTCATTTTAAATGTTTTAGTTTGGAGTACGGCTTTCTATGGGTACATCTTGGTACACATCATTTGTGTTAACACTATCCAGGTTTCCCGTTCGCCTACGGAATTTTCCAGGAATATTACTCCTCACACCCGCCATTCAAGGGCCAGCGGAACATTGCCATTGTTGGTACCTGCGCTTTGGGATTCATGTATCTCTCTTCGCCCTTTGTCTTTAGCCTACTTGTGTGGCGCCCTACGTGGAAAAGGCCTTGCATCCTGGTCGGTTTGGTCATCATGTGTCTATCGATTGCACTCAGCTCTTTGAGTACGACAGTTCCACATCTGATCGCGAGCCAGGGTGTTTTCTCCGCAGTTGGAGGTGCTTTGTGTTATAGCCCAGCAATCAGTTTCGTGGACGAGTGGTTTGTGAAGAGGAAAGGTTTGGCTTTTGGCATGATGTGGGTAAGTAGAAGGGAATTTACCTGCTACTTGGCTGCTTTGTAAACTATAATTAGTAAAACTGACATGGGATATAGGCAGGCACTGGTCTTGGTGGTGTCGTGATTCCACTACTCCTCCAAGCCATCCTCAACAAATACGGCTTCCGCACCACCCTTCGCATATGGGCTGTGTGGGTTAAACCTTTGTGTTTACATGTATCAGAGCCATTGCTAACAGATACTAGGGTCTTGTTTGTTGCCACAGTGCCGCTCTACGTATTCCTCAAACCGCGTGTGCCAATTTCTCGGAACCCTTCTCGCCGCTCTTTTGACCTATCCTTTCTCAAAACAAGAATCTTCCTGCTGCACCAATTTGGTAACATCCTTCAAGGCTTTGGATACTTTTTACCAGCCCTCTACTTGCCCACATACGCAAAGAGTCTAGGCGCATCGAACAGTGTCTCCGCACTCACGCTTACCCTTAACAACATTGCCGCAGGGTTGGGGTGCGTATTAATGGGCTGGTCTGTGGATCGCTGGCATGTCACCACATGCGTCTCCATAACGACGATAGGGTCTACACTAGCAGTCTTCCTCCTCTGGGGCTTTTCGACCCATCTATCACTGCTTCTGATTTTCTGTTTCATGTATGGCTTGTTCGCCGGCTGCTACACAACAACGTATTCGGGTGTGATGAAAGCGCTCAGTCGCAGTCACGAGGCCACAGATGCGACTTTGGTCTTTTCGGTACTTGTGGCAGGACGCGGTATTGGGAATGTGCTCAGCGGACCTGTCAGTCAAGCACTGATCGGAGCAGGTCAAGTAGGACATGTAGGCGTGTATGCGAGCGAGTATGGTCCGCTTGTCATCTTTACGGGCGTCAGTGCTGTACTGGGAGGATTCGGTTGTATTGGAAGGGCGCTCAGATGGTTTTGAAAAAATAGCGACCAGTACAGGTACGTTCGTAAGCTGATCTCATGTCACTCTGCAAATGGTAGCATTTTTCTGTTTTTTACTGGTATCGATGACAATCAAAATTTGAATAGACAGTTGACTCAAATTGGGTGGGGTAAGATTAAAATGAAAGCGCTTCAAGAGCAAGCATTGCGGAACTGAATCTTCGTAGGTCACATTCAAACAAAGAGTCGGAAGCATGATATGGTTGTTGAAAGAGACTTAGAACAGTTCGAACTTACACAGAAGACTATACAATTATCAATATTAATTTTCCATTGGTTCCTTCATAGTCAGCTTCACCCCCACGAACAAGATAGTCGATTACTAGCTTTGTTTGTAGCCGAATTCTGCTTGACCAGAGGTCTCGCATTGTCAACTCTGCGAAACACCCCCGCTGTATGACGAAAGATTATACGTGCCAATACGATTGACTAAGATGCAAGGAGCATTGATTTTCTGAGGCAGCACTTTGTGTCATAAGCTGATTTCGGGCCATAGAACCTTTCGTTAGAACGTGAAGGAGGTTGTTCAGTTTCTCGCGTTGGGCATTGTAGGGTCAGTAGAGAAAATCTTGAGTGTAGCAGGTTCCTTCTGATATTCTTGAAGAAACTGTTCGAATTGTATGTAGTAGCTGTAAATGGCGCAATCAAATCATGCTGAGGTAGTTCGCAAACAGGCACCAGCCAAGAACATGAAGCAGTCTAACTAGGTCTTCTGTATTACAAACTGCTTGAAGGAATAAAAGTCTCTCTGAGTTGCACTCATGTTCGCTTCATGACAACCATGATGGATTTCCGGGTCCTTTCAGTGCCCCGCCAATAGTCCACGTTCTCAGCGCTCAGTACCTCCAAAATCCCCACAGAAGCCAGTCTGTCGACCTCCGCTTTATATCCACCAGACACCCAGACTTCATCTACAACTGTACAGACGACAATGCCTCCCTTCTTCGCGATGCGAGCTAATTCTGCAAGCCCTGGAACAGGTCCCACATGTCCGGAGGAAAAGGTTCCGCAACAAGTCACTATATCGTATGATTCGTCCGGTTTTTCGATGCGCTTCGTCATATCTGCGGTGGAAAGGTCTCTATATGCGCCGGTTTTTCCTGCGACATCGAGCATGCGAGTAGAGAGGTCGATACCGTCGATAGTTTTTGCACCGAGTTTCGCGAGTGCGACACCGACTAAGCCGGTTCCACAACCGGCGTCGAGAATGGCGCCATTTACCTCCCCTAGGACATCCTTGACAGTCTGAGCGGTCATTTGAGGGCCGACATAATCTACCCCAGCGTTGTGGACGTCGTTGTCATACGTTGTCGCCCATTCATCCCAGATCGCAAGGGACTCACTTGGCTTTGTCACAGCATGAATTCGTTCGAGATATGAGTGTGTATTCTTCGACTGAATCATATTGAGAGAGTTTTAATGTAGCGAATTGAAGCGGTAGTCTGGATGCCTTGGAACTTGTTGGTGGCGATATAGGAGCTCTCTTATGTATAGCTGATATTGCCTGCTTATCTATGCCACCACAATGTCAGGGTTGTTAATCTCAAAATGTCTCAAAATTCATGGAATTCAACAGCTGCAAGATATGACAGACATGACTCATGCATTCAGCTTGTTCTGAGTAAGATATTTGGTGCTGAGTAAGGGATTACTTGTATCCAGGCTAACGAATGAGTTCGGTATTACAGGTAACAAGAAGAGTTCTCTCATTGATGTCAGATAATGAAGCAAGGAAGGCACAGCTGAGTACATCGCTCTTTGAGGTCAATGTTAGAAGGTAATCATTATCGCGGAGCAAGGAAGTCACGTGATGTGTAATTTTGCTACCACGAAGTATTTGGCGGATGACAGATCTGGAACCATTGTGTGTAATGGAATGGAAGAATTTGGTCACTTAGTACGTTGTAGGCCATTTATATATATCTTTCTTTTTATTTATCTATTTAATAAGACTGTTGCGAGGCCACCGATAGCGTACTATTCAATGTCAAACCCTTCTAAATTCCCTGTCTCCATCCACTTGTTTATGCGCTCTGTATATTCAATAATCCCACCTGAGAATGGCGCATAACGAGGTTCTAGATCCGTGTCTTTGCTTCCCTGCAAGAGCCTTGCCGCAGCGCTTTCATCAGCGATGTAGCCAGGCGTGCACGTACGGACAAGTCTGTAGAACATGGAACGAGCCTCGCACTCATCTGTCCACTTGTCCTCAGCTTCCTTGGAGGCCTCTACGATTACTTTGTCGGGATTCTTAGACTTTTGGATTGCCTTACATATTACATGAGCCCTCAGATTTCCTGTCATGTAGAAAAGTGAGCTACTATTCGTACTGATAGTAGAGCCAGACACACTGCAGAAAAACAGGTTGGGAAAATCATGCGTGGCAATGCCAAACAGCGTACCAAAATCTCTCCCAGACCACTTGCTGGTGAAAGAGCGACCATTGCGGCCCGTTACAGGAATGCCCAAAGACTCCATTGGGCTCCTGAAGCTGTAAAGGGTAGAGCTGAATCCAGTAGCGAGAACTAGGCAGTCAACCTCGTACTCTTGACCATTAGCGATCACAGCTTTGTCGGTATACGAAGTGACACCCTCTGGCGTGTGCACTAGCGTGACATTTTCCCGGTTATACGTCTGCAGGTAGGTGTTGTGGAAAGTCGGTCGTTTGCACCAGCCTGGGTACCAAGGCTTCAATTTTTCCGCCGTTTCTGGATCCTTCACTTCTCTTGCAATGTGTGCACGCACTTTCTCGGCCTGAGCAAGGTCGATCTTCATCATTTCGTCGAAGATCTGCTCGGAATTTTCAGCAGTAACGACAAGGCGCCTCCCACTTGCGCCCGAGAAGCCGCGAGAGTGAGTCCAACCATCGCTTACTAAATCAACCTCTGCAGCGTCATTGGTCAGAAACCTGTTGTAGTTCTCTGAACGCTCGTACTGCCACCCTGGTTTGCATGCGACCTTAGCCCAGGCTTCGGGCGTAGTCTGAGAGTCAGGGCGAGGTCCACAATACGAGGGAGTTCGTTGGAAGACGTAAAGATGCTTTGCCCACTTTGCCAGCTCAGGAATGCAACCAACACCCGTTGCACCAGTTCCAATGATACCCACTCTCTTATCTTTTAGGTTAACAAGTTCCTGGTTGTACTCGTTACCGCCAGTATAATTGTAATCCCAACGCGCAGTGTGAAAGACCTTTATGTTCTCTTTGAACCTATCAAATCCAGGCATGGCTGGAGCCTTGGGCGCAATAAACCAGCCTCCGCAGGGAAGAAAAAATTGACATCGAACAGTCAGCAGCTCAGGTTTCTTGGTTGGACCGAGCCGTTGAGTAAGCCTAATGACCCATCTTGCTGCATCTTCATCCCAGTTTGCGCTTTCGATCTGCGTGCAGAACATGCCCCGAAGACCAAATTGGGCAGCCACACGCTCATTCTGTTCGCGAATCTCATGGCCATAAGAATATTTGTGTTTCGGCATGTAACCAGTCTCTTCGAGTAAGGGCAAGTAGATGTATCCTTCAACATCGCAGGTCAAACCTGGATACCGATTCCAATACCAAGTTCCACCAAATCCGCCCGCGATGTCTACGAGACATATCTCTTCCGGCTTGATGCCTCCCTGAATCAGATGGTAGGCGGAGAAGATTGCGTTATGTCCAGCACCGCCAAAGAGGAATTTGACCTCGCAGCCGTCTTTGAGAGGTTGGTCTTTGCTTGTGAGAGCCTCATAGTCCGCGAAAAGGTCATGGCTCAGATCTTCAAGGCCTGGCTCGCGAATGTCATTGTAGTTGCCGATGGTTGAAGCGGCAAGGCGCTTGTCACGCTCCTCGTTATATTTGTCTTGCATCGATTGATAGGAGGTCATTGTGGGATACAATAAGAGGATGATTAGATGGAAATAGAGTAGTGGATTTTACAAAGTGATGATCAAAGTATTGCTGTGCCGCAGTCACGTCAATGAGTGATAATCATCTAGCCTCTTCATGCGCGGCAGATGGACAGCAGTTACAGCGATTTCGGAATTCAGTTTTCTGTACCTTCTATTTTCAAAGCCATCAGGTCAACATGACTTGATATTGAATTTGATGATGGCTACTTAGTAAGACTGACGCGGCCCGAGATGGTAGCTTACCCCTCCAAGTACGACCGCTACTTGCGTATGCATTGCCTATTAGACATTGTCCTCCAAGATACCTCTATCAATTCCTATTCGTATTGTAGTATTACCCATAGAGTCTCAATATAAGCTCATCAATATCTTAGTTCAACTTTTCTCCCAAACTAATCTCTGTAGCATAGCAGTGTACAAAAGTCTCTTCAGGTCACGTCTGTTTCTTAGTAAGAGATCTTCCAGATTATATCCCAACACGCTCAATAAATTAACTCGTGGTTTTGGCTATACTTGAATTCAACATTCACGGCGATCTCTAGAGTCAATTAGTAAGACAGATGTCCTAATGTAGTCAGATACCCACATAAAGACGCAGAAGTGGCTGGGTATGGTCACCCCCACCAAACCCGGTTACAATCCAATTTCCCCTCGTCTAACCTTGTTGAATTATTTCGGTATAGCGCTGTAGTATCTGTCGCTATACAATGAGTGATTAATTTATGAAAACATCTGACTCACTTCTCTCACTCGGTGCTGCATATGTAGTAATCCGCAGAGTGGGAATGCGTCCCTTTCGGCAAAGGAGATGGCATTGGCTTGGAACAGCAGTTTGGCACCCATCTGCGCCTCGATAAGCGTCGCAATACCCTTTTCGCTCTTTCTGCGAAGATATGATACGTGTATTATGTAATTCAATTTCGGCTCTTATAGACGTGGGCCTGCTTTGTCCTCAGTGTTGTTATTGAATAAATACTCCCAAGGGCTACCCACTCCCAAGTTGTGTTTCTTATCAACTAGCAACTATTGTACCTCTCCTCGCGCTATTGTCGAAGATGGCAGCTCTTGCATCGTTACCCGATGTAGATACTGATGCCTTTTCTGGTATATGCGGGTAAGTGATTCTCATCAGCGGTATAGAAGTAGACACATACATTCCATCATTGCGTTATCTCCAGTTTTATCTATGCTGACTTTTTTTCCATTGAATAGTACTATTTCCATCGTGGCATGGGTTGTTGTATTCAGCCCGCAGATCTACAAGAATTTCCGTCGAGGTTCATGTGATGGTCTATCACTTCACTTCCTCGCGGTATGGCTACTGGGCGACATTTTTAATGTCGTTGGTGCTGTACTTCAAGGCGTCCGGCCGACCATGATCATCCTTGCTATATATTTCACTGTAGCCGACGTAGTGTTGTTGGCTCAATGCTTCTTCTACAGAGGCTTGACATGGAAGGATGATACTAGTGCGGCACCACACACGCTGATGCCAAGCGAAACAGAAGATCCGAACGAAAGAACATCACTACTGGATGAACACATGATAGCTAACGAGAGGCGAAGCCCAGACGAGAACAATAAAAACAATGAGACTAATGCATTTGGAGAGCATGCGAATCCTATTGCACGTACCTGCTTGTACATGTATGTCCAAAACATAGCGATGGTTTTTTTGGTTTGTACAACAGGCATAGTTTTCTGGTACACAAGTCACGAGTCCACGAACCACGAGGGTCTAGCACCTGGTCGGGAGATCCCCAAGTTCGACATTTGGGGTCAAATATTCGGTTGGCTTTGCGCCGCACTTTACTTTGGTTCACGCTTCCCCCAATTGATCCTGAACTGGCGTCGAAAGTCTGTGGAGGGGCTGTCGGTATTGTTTTTCCTTTTCGCTTGCTTGGGAAATTCTACATATGTCTTGTCAATTCTTGCGTTTGACTCGACTGGCACTGTTTCGAACAGCTGCCTTGAGTCCTGTGAAGCGCGGGAACTCTATGGTAAGCATATACTGGTAAACCTTCCCTGGCTGGTGGATGGCCTAGGCACGATGCTTCTTGATGGAGCGATCTTCGCCCAATTCCTGCTTTACGGCGAAGTCAAGCCCATTCGGGATGAAGTGTAGGGTCGAATACTGGGCTGAAGACGCATTCTTGTGGAGCGTGGACCCGTGCAGATCGCTTGTAATATCCATTCTGAGGTAGTGAGACGCATGGAGAGGCGAGACAGCCTTGCAAATCAGACCTCTAAGACACGTCCACGAAGAATATCATATCATTGCTGCAATCCGTAGGTGGCGCTAAAGATGGAGCAGGTTTAGCTCTAAATTACTGTGGCAATCTCCTGTTGTAAACACGTGTAACTATGTGTGCCGGTGTAGTGTATGCAGTCGTGTCGGTTGAATGGCAGTGAGCTCCATGGCCATGGCTAGGCTGACGCCCTTTATGCGACCTTTCACAGCATGAATCAATCTGCCACGTACACGGTTCGGAAAGACTTGTTAGTAAGTAAGGCCGACATGAATTCGCAGACAAGCCAAAGATCTTCGCTGTACGTCTGTCCCGTGTTGGACTAATCGTCGGCAAGTGGAAATCTTGGTCGACGCAATGGTCTGCTGTGAAATACAGACTTGTTTGGATTGGAGAGATGGTATTATGTAGGTGTGTTTGATGCGGATATTAGCTGGTTGAAGGAGCAATTTAGTACTATGTCGGTTTGCAACTTGATGGCGACTTTGTGGATGGCAGGCTACCATGCAGAATATGTTTACTCTGGAGAAGTTGCAGGAGATCAAGCAATGGCAGATGAGCAGATTTCCAGTACTGTGTAGGTGCGTCTCTGCGATACACAACAATCTATCGAGCGATATTGTTGCTGGAAAGGATTTATCGATTCGCACCACATCACGTCTTGGATAAAGATGAGTTCCACGTCAGCACCCAAAATGGGCCAGACACTCTAAGAAAACGCCAAGTTGGTGCATAGCCGCGGAGGGTGCAACAGCAGCGTGTAATGGTAATTTGGTCGGGCATGAATTGACATGTGTTGCCAACGCCTGCTATCTTGACTCGATCTTCGCCGTTGGTGATGATGAGCTCTGGCCAGGCCAAAAGAAGACGTCATATTTACTATGCGACCAAGGCTGCGCACACCACCACGCTCGACTGACACGTGACGTATGATTTCACTGGTTTTTGACGCTCGAGGATCCGCAACCTTGCCATGGGCACTAGAAGATGGTTGCATCGACCGAACGTAGCGCCCGTTCATGCGCGGCCGGCGGCACCCGTCGGTGCAGAAGCCGAGAAGTGAGGGCGGGTTCCACAGTCGTCCCAAGAGTTGCGGTGCATGCACGACTAAATTAACAAGCAGCATGCGTTTGGCCTTGGGTATAGGAGCTTGTAGGGCGCGATATTGTGGGCCTTCCCGAGGATCCTGCAAAGGTTAACTCTGGCCGTACGCACGTGCATCGTGGCGTGGTTTGGGTTAGCGCAATATCTGCAACCTGTACGACACGTCACAACCGCCAGGCTTTGGAGCAACCGTGGAGGGCTTTGGATTGAACAACACGTCTGCCAACGCAGCGTGGACGGAGGGCGAGGGTGTGCTCACCCCGCCGGGAGGCTTGTGCGGTGCCTTTGTCCAGCTGCCACTTTCGCTTCAACCGCAGCAAGCGAAGACCGAGCAAGCGCCGCCGTGAAGAGCTGGCTAGCGTTGACGGCGGCCGGGCTGGCTGGTGCTGGCAGGACACCAAACCTATGGCCATAGCACGGGAATTCAGGAACAGGACAGCCTGCAGTATTGGGATGTGACATGGGCTGCATCTCTACGCACGAACCTGGAGATCGCAGGGCTGAGCAGTTCACACCAGGAACACAGTGCTTGATATTGACGCACCGCCGCTCGACCAGCTGCCCATGCCACCTCATCCGGGTGGGTCTCGCTGTGCAGACGGTTGACGGCCCCAATACCTAGCACACGCTCTCGCTTAATGCTGCCTCTTGCTTCGTCTGCCCTCGTCGTTGCAGCTTCGACACGTGAAGCATGGTTTCTTCGAGATGACGCGCTTTCAGATGGCATGTCCACGGTACGGAAACGGCACGGCCCTTTATCCTTCTAACCGCAAGCGGGACGAGCGCCGACGAGGGTAGGGCCCAATTTGCGGACACCTCTGGCACTACGTCGGCATGGAGAAACTAGCCATGGCAGCAACTCTCTTTCGTCCTTCAGTGCCAGCTCAGAGCCGAACCAGGCTGAACTCGGTAACACAGTAGAGACCAAAATTTATCCGTATCCCCTCATTGGCCTTGCCATCCCAGACCTGTGGTTTCGACCACACGCAACGTCCTGTCATGGTGTCCGTACCGGGTCCTGGCGGGTTTAGTTTCTGCTTGGTCGCGTTCTCTTTCTCGCTACCCCCGCAGTTCCTCGCTCGATTATGTTTCTGCCGGCCAATTATGGCGGGAAAAACCTGCCAACGCAGCATCCCATCACCAAGCTGCTTTGTTCCGAAGCACATAGGGGGGTGGTTGCGGCGGCTGCAGGCTGCTTCCTTTTTGACCTGTCTATGTGGCAAAGCCGCCCTCTTGTTCCTACAGGATACCGAAAATGAGGCTCTCGAAGCACTGCTCGACTATAAACAGAGGCAGAACTAATGCCACGCAAGGTGTTGCTACCCAGTCCTCGCTCACACATACCTGATCTTCCCTGATCCCCACTCGCGAAGCCTTTACCCCACCACAAACTTTGTTAAAAGCATCACGCCTTCGTCTCTTGCTCGCAGTTCCCCCCATCTCGCACAATGGCAACACAAGAGAGTTACGTGCAAAAGCTACAGCGTGCGCAGACCGATGCTCTCGCCCGTGTAACCTAGCTAAAAAAGACGTTGCAGACTACTGCGCTACCAACCAGATTGCCCAGCCCCAGTTCCAGGACTACTCTGACCCACGAGGTTCGTAGCCCATGCCTATCTCAAGAGACCTTGTCAATATCGCCCACTTACTTACTGGCATCTGCTGACACACTGGTCAACACAGGCATACGCACAGCCTGGTCAAGCAGTGTCTTTGTCCATGGCCGTGAATACCGAGCCGCGCTATGGCGAGACTACCGCTACCTCGAGCAATCCCGAGAAGAAGCCGCTGAAGTGGCCTGGAAGGCCCTTCAATCCGCTGCCGCAACCACCAACGCAAACCAGACACAATACAACCGTTCCTTTGGGGCGTCCCGATAATGGCTCGATCTCCCCTTGCAACACCACATACAGAGATGCTCAGGGGCTATGAAATGCTGGAATATGTCTCGATACGTTGATGCTCTGGCCGATTTTGTTGTTATAGTTGTTGCATACTGGGCCACTGCATCACTTGGGCTTACGACTTCTTGTTCTTCTCTCTTTGAAACTTTTTTTTTAAAACTGAAAGCTGTCTCCTCTTTTTTTTTCGTTCTTACCAGCTGGTTCTATACCCTTCATCGTTCGCACAATGCTCGTTCCATTCTCCAGCCAAGGACTGTCTATCCAGGCATCCCTATGTGCCAGACACTCGCTGTATCCTTCGACCGAGGCTTTCTTTTTTTTTTCACTTTTTACTTGAGAGACTTTGTCGCAGCTTCCATATGTGTTGAAAGTTTTCTACTTTGTTTCTGTCTTTTTTTTTTCGGTCCTTGTTCGGAGTAGTCAATTGACACAGGATAGTTGAAATATACTGCAGAATAGCCATTACACCCGCCTGTCAATGTTTTATTCCTTTCAGCGCAGTCATGTTCAAATACTGTCATAAATGAATTGACTTGTCGAAATGTGAGGTGGCAGGGCTCATGTCAAATATGTCGTGCATGATTAATGCTTTCTACTTCAGAATGGTCAAGTGTTTCAGCACGCTTGGTCTATTGTTCACAATAGATTGATAATAGGCCAAGTCTACCGAAACAATTACACCTGTGTTGTTGTGTGTGTTTCAACCATGAGATGAGATTCGTTTTGCATAGGCATACAGTCTATCAAGATGTTTTGTTTGCTCACTAGCCGGGCCGCTTCCTACATGCTGCAATAGTGATGAGACATATAGCTCTGCCACTCTGCATGCACCGACGATCCTTCTTCACTTCGCACCAACGGTACTTGCACACGTCCAAAAGCAACGTAATGCACACAGCCACCACGTGTAGCTTAGCCAACTCATCCAACACAAAAACCCACCATCCTCCTACGGTGGATCACCAACACCTCGACTGCAGATGCTAACCCCTATTAGCGCCTCTTTGATCCGAAACAATGTCCACAACAATCCACTGTGCAAATCCACTGCCCATCTTCATATCAGTATTTTCTTTTTCTTAGCGGCCGTTGGCTTGATCTCGGCAAGACAAAAGCAAAAAAAAGCCACCGTTGTACTTTTTCGTGAGATAAGAATATCTACACTAGGTTCACACGTACACAGCAAGACGAAAAATAAAAACAAAACGGCAACGCCACGACCGAGATATGGAATGGAGATGTTCCTTCAATACAACGCTGCGCTGTTACCCCTGCCATAGCACCATTTGCAGCAAGTATGTAGAATCAAAAAAAAAAAGAGTTAGTAGTAGTACTAGCAAACACAAGTCACAAAACTCGCAACGACACACGTACTTTTTTTGTAACAAAAGCTCAATCTATATTCTTTTTTTTTTCCACCATCTTCTCTCTTTCCCACCTTACTCGATTCCAGTACACACACACCCCTCCTCCTCCTTTCTGATCATATCCTCAATGATTTTGGTTTTACCTAAGCAACAAAAAACTTAGCGCCGGCGTGGCAAAAAAAGAGGGGGGAGGAGGGGGAGACGCTAGTATTTCGAAACACGCATCTCCTAAGCGCCTATTATGCGACACCTATTTTGTCAGAGAATAAGCTGTGCCGTAGCAAATCACATTGTGTCGAAGGGCCATACACACACGCACACAAAGGCAACGGTAATTCAATCGCCAACACCATGTTGCAACTAGTAGGCCATATACATATGAAATTCCTACAGTTAGTTAAATAAAATCTTAAAAGATAACTTTGCGAACATAAATAAAGGTTTCCTGTTCCATGGCCTTTTCTGTGCATTTTCCAACCCTATGTTCTCCCCTCCACCCCGGTCCCAAAAATAAAAAAATAACAATCCCTTACACGGTCGATCCCCAAAACGCATAATGTTTCCCTGGCTTGACAAAACACACGCCGTCTTACCTCTTCCCTCGCCATGCCTCTTTGCCTCGCCGCATCGCCCATCTGATTCGTACAAAGGACTTGCGTACCAGAAACTGGCGCGAAACAAGGGCCGGGAGATGGGGGGAGAGAGAGAAGTGAAGTCCAGAGGAGATTCCCTGCATAGTAAAGGCCTGGGGCAGTTTACGTGTTGGAGAGGGACGGTGGGTACCGTGGTGCTGGGTTTGTATGGGCTGGGAGAGGCTTAAGGCATTGGGCGGTACTGAGGGGATATGGATGGGATTCCTTGCGGGAGGAGGTGGCGAAGTGTATGTCTTTTTAGTGGGGAAAATGTGTGTGTGTGTGTGTATGAGAGAGAGAGAGGAAGGAGAAAGGCAAGGCAAGGGAAGTGGAGTATAAAAGGGGAAGGGAGGGAAGGGGAAGGGACGACTGAGGCCATCATTTTCACGAAAGCATTCTACAAATACAATTCTACCTATTGTAATACACTATTTTACTACTTCCAGGCGAAGAAGAAAAAGAAGCACACCTTCCATTCATCACTAGTCTCGACCATTCGAATCATAATATCAAGAGAGAGAGAGAAAAAAAAATGGCACCCATCTTCAAACTCCTGACCATCCTTTCCCGTATGTTCCCCCCCTCTCTCTCCCCATATCAACCTCACACACCTACTAACTTCCGACTCAAAACAAAAAAGTCACCCTCTACACCTCAGCCCAAGGCACGCAATTCATCACGGGGGCCTGTACCTCAGACGCGGCCTGCGCATCCGGCTGCTGCGGCTTCAAATCCGGCAAATGCGCCGCCCCCATTGTAGCCAACGAGCAGGGCCAAGGCTGTGGCTTCGGCGACGCACAACCAAACAACAATGCTTTGAACGGGGGCAACAAGGCTATGGGCGACACTGCACCGCAGCCGCAAGCACCCGCATCCGGACAAAGCATGGTAGGCGAAGAAGCAGCACCAGCACCAGCACCAGCACCAGCAGCATCAGCCGCGCCTCAAGCCAAGGGCACACAATTCATCACGGGAGCCTGCACCTCGGACGCGGATTGCGCATCGGCATGCTGCGGGTTCAAGAGCGGCAAGTGTGCGGGACCGGTGGTAGCGCAAGAGCGAGACGGCGGGTGTGGATTTGGGGATGCGCAGCCGAATGACGATGCGGCTAGGGCGTTGCAAGGGAGGAGCTTGGGACGGAGGGGTCCTGGGTTCATGTAAGCAATCAAGTAGTATATCCATCTAAACGTGAGAAGAAAACAAATGCATGAATGAAAAAAATAAATAAATGAGTATGGGGAGTTTTGACGGTGATGATGAGGGTACGAGTAAAGAATGAGCAGTAGTAGTATGTGGGCATAGAGAAGAGATGGAAGTAAGGATGGAGAGGGGTTATTGTTGTTAAGACAGGTCAGGTGACAGGTTCACGCATTGTATTACCTACCAACCCTACCCACATGTATGATTGTTTTGTGGCGGGCTCGACTAAGCGGGGGCGTATGTAATCCCGCCGCAACCCCCTTCTGCATAAAAACACATGATAGGTTCGTGTGAGTTTTCGATGACAGGCGGGTCGGCTCGGGAGTGGGATGCATATTCGGAATAATATCGCACCGAGAAAACAAAACGACAACCCAAAAAAAAAGCAGAAGGGATTTTTTTCCAACGTCAGGTAATTCGAAAGGCCCCTCTTGACAATCAAGAGGAGACCAATGCTCAATCGGCTCATCGTATTGCATATAACCGGCAACAGGTCTTTTGCCAGACTAAACATGTTTCTAAACGCCCCAAAATTGTACTCCGACGCTTTAAATGCAAGGTACAGGATGCCGACCAATTCCACGAAAGAACACCAATGTGTACGCCCCCAGATATAGAAAAAAGAAACCATGGCTCCGAGAGAAAAGCCATATCCACCGAAAAAGGGCAGGCTCAAAGCCGGGAGAAAAAGCGCAGACATGAGCAAGTGGTGTGCACTCTACCAGAAGAAACAATGTGATAGATGTGAAGGATATTCCAGAAGTAAAAAGAGGTTTTTGTGAAGAAGAGGAAGAAGGAGCATGACAAAGTCGTGAGTCTGAGCGAAGAGACGTGAAAGCAGCTCTGACCAAAGGGGGTTAGCAGTTGCATAGGTGCAGTCGATGCCAAAGCCGAGGCACCATGACAAATGTGCTGGGTGATGTCTGGGTCGCGAAAGCTCAGTTGTGTGGTATCTGCTTGCTCTGGCCGTTGCCAGCCCATACACCACCGCCAACAGCTCGCGAGATACCGACGCCCAGGCCGACGGCGGCGGCAATGACGAGGAGAGCAATGACAATCTTGGCCCACAGGCGTTGCTTGTTGGTCAGATTGCGGAAAAAGGCGCAGCCGCGCTTGCGCTGGTACGACTTGCGCTTCTCGAGCACAGCCTGTCGTGTGGGCCACATGGTGCACTCCTTGACGCGACCGTCGACGGATGTCTTGGACTGTTGTTGTGTCGAGGCTACCGACAGGGGCACGGCGCCCTCGAGATCGTGTTCGGTGACGCCAAGGTGGGCCTTTGAGGGGGGGATGCTGTCATTGATCGAGGGGCGCGTCTCGCGCAGGGCCTCTGGGTGCTTGTAAAAGGCCGAGTAGGGGTTGGAGGCGTCGGCAGTCCACTCCTTCTTGGCCGGGTCGGCATCGGCAGTGGCAGTAGCGGTAGTTGTTGTTGAATCCTGCGAATGCGGCGAGCGCAGCAGCTGCTGTGTGGCGGGCATGGCGGGGCTGGAGGAGCGCTCGATACTGGCGCCGAAGGTGACGGACTCGTTCTTCTCGTTGGCAGCCATTGCGGCGTCAGGGGGCGAATGGAGTAGCACAAAGGTGGAGGCGACAAGCAATGGACAGCGGCGGCGCGACTATTTGTGGCGGAGAGAGAGAGGGAGGGAGGGAGGGAGGGAGGGAGGGAAGGAGGGGAAGCTTCACAGCAGGCGCAGCATGGGCCGGATACGGTGACGAGGCGGCGTCGTGTGTTAGTGGGCCAAGGTAGGGGGTTAAGGACAGGCGAGTAGGCAAGTAGAGCGGATGGGAGACGGGCGGCGGCCGATGGTGAGGGAGCGGCGATGCAGTTGTGGAAGCAGCAGGTCCGTCTGGGGGGGGGGGGGTCACTCGAAGCTGCAAAGAATGGGCTGTGGCGCGGGTGGATGGGTGAGAGGGCTCGATGGCAGTGGAGAGAGCGAGACCTGTGTGCAAGGAGGGTCGCGGGCGGCAGTGCGCGAGAAGATATGAAGGAGCAGTGTCGTCCCCCCCCGTGGCTGAACAAGGCCCGTGTGAACGGGGGATTCCAGACTTGGGGGGCAATCATACGGGCCCGCTAGGCCGTTCGGAGCCATGTCCCTGCCGTCAAGGCTCGTCTGAGTCGATGGATTGGCGAGGGAAAGCAAACTGCAGGTGGGCGTTTGGTTTGCCCGTCCCTGATCTTCGCCCGCACTTCTCGTCGCCCTCGCTCAACCACGGCGCCGCCTCCCATGGCTGGCTTGGCCCAGCAAAGCAGCACGCCCACGGCCTCGCCCACACAGCGCCGCCGCCGCCATCGCCTTGTGCGCGCGACTGGGCGCTGTTGTCGCGTGAGCGTGTGCCGTGTGGGCTGGGCCTGGTCGCCGCTGTACGGCCGCAAAGGTCGACTAGGAGCAGCGAGGGTGCGGCGCAGCTGGGGTTTGGCTCTGGCTTGGCGTTGAGCGCAACCGCAGGCGAGGCCCGAGCGGGCAGTGCGACCGGCCAATGTCTGCGCGGCTTGACGCACGCGGAGCGGCTGGCCGAGAGGCTTGAGCGCTTTGCTTGTCTGTCAGCCTCTGCCTCTGCCTCCTTCTCATGCACCCGCACCAGCGTTGGACAAGCTCCCAGCTATCGAATCGTCCATAGCACCACCACCACCACTGCTACTACTACTACTACTACTACCGCATGGCGCCCTGCTGGCGGGGCCCGCCCTCTGTCCACCGCCCACCGCCCGCCGGCCAGACCACGCCAGCGGCACGGCGGCGAGGGCACACAAACAAGGCACAAAAAGAAGCTTTTGGCCTGCCCAAAGCAGTGGGAAACCCATCCAAGACGTGCATGGGTGCCGATAGCCGCCTGCATGCACACGTAGAGACAAAGACGCGCCTTTGTTGGCTGTGCACACATGTGCCTAGGTAGTAGATAGCAGCAGATACGCATGTCCCGAGTATACTAGTCTGTGTACATACTACTTAGCCCTTGCTGCTCAGACGGCGGGCGGGCGAGATTACCTAGATAACGCTGCAAATGCATCGAAACCATGGCGTGGTGCCAGATTGAGGGTTTCGGCCAGGCCTGTGCACCAGCCGCCAACCCAGACCACCAGCCCGCTAATGCAAACTGCTGTCTCTCTCTCTCTCTCTTTGCCCTAGGTCGCGTTTCCTGCTCCGCACCCAGAGTACTGTAGCCCGTAGCCTGGGACCATGATGCCATCACCTATAACCCAACCCGCTCTCCCCGTGTCGCACCCCTCTGGCCAGCCCCGCCTGGGCCTGTTCCATCTCGCACTCGCCCATCCGTCTCCACCACCCCAGTTGTCTTTGTCTCATGATTGCGGCATTTGCATTGCATCGGCCTGGAAACCTCGGTCTGTGTCGTGCCCTGTCTCTCTCTCTCTCTCTCTCTGCGTGTGTCTTTTTCTTCTCCGCTCTCAACCCAAAACAACACGCCGTTTTGTCATGCTGCCCAAGCCCCCCCAAAAATGCCGCTCCAAACGCCAACGCCAATCCCCATTATGTCTATCCATCACTGTGCGTGTGCAGCAGCCTTGCTAGCAATCCCAGCTGCATCCTTAGTCTTCCCTTTTGGGCCGCTTTCCCGCCCCCATCCAATCACGCGCCTACATCCGCTACCTCTATCTTTTCCTATCCTTGGTTCACATCTATTATCGTGCGCCTGCACCTGCGATTTCCTCTCTCTTGATGCCGGATCGCTCACACATGCCCTTGAAAATGCCGCCCTGGTCGTACAAGCGCAGTGGCGAATCTAGCTCTGCAATCTGTCCTGCGTCCATGACGCAGATGCGGTCGTAATTGATGACTAGGCCACCACGTCAGTCTCAGCTCCTGTTACTCTAGCACTCTTCGACCCTGCACCGGCCAAACTTACTCGTCTTCAACCTGTGGGCAATGCACAACAGTGTCTTGCCCTTGAACCCCTCCACAATCTGCGCACGCACACACAACCGTTAGCCTCATCAACAATGACGTTTGCTTCTTCTTCTTCTTCTTCTTGCTTACCGTTTGTTGAATCTTTGCGTCAGTCTCAAAGTCGACCGAACTAGTCGCTTCATCGCACACAATGATTTGCGAGTTGCGAACCAGCGCACGCGCTAGAGCCATGAGCTGCCGCTGTCCCAGCGAAAAGTTGAGTCCTTCCTCCTCAACCACACTGTCGAGATGGATTCGGCCAGAGTGGTCATCCATTGCCTGCTCCGTCGACACGAGATCGGCCTGTCGCAGCGCAGACCAGAGCTCCAGATCAGAATGCTCGTGGAAAGGATCCAGATTCGATCGGATCGTTCCCTTGAACAGCGTTGGGTCCTGAGGGATAATCGCCAGCTTGGACCGCAGGTCGTGAAGACCAATCTTGGAAATGTCCACGCCATCAACAACAATCGATCCCCCAGCCAACTCCTGCAACCGGAAAAGTGTTGACATGATGGACGACTTGCCCGCTCCCGTGCGTCCTACGACCCCAATCCGCTCGCCCGCGTGTACGTGCATGCTCAGCCCCTTGAGCACCAAGGGCAGTCCGTCGCGATACCGCATCTCAACATTGTCAAACACAATCTCGCCGTGCTCCGGCCATGTCGGCCGCACCTGGCCCATGTGCAGGGGCGCTTCTTCCTCCAGTTGGCTTCCGTAGTGATGGATACGTTCCGTCGAGTTCATGTTGTTCTCTACCTCTGCAAGCTGACGAACAGAAAACTGAATCATCTGCACAATGGTAAGAATGTACGAAAGCACCAAGCCAGCAATGCTGGGATCAACAGAGAAACGGCTAGTCACAACCAAAATACCCGTCGTGAAGACCAGTGCAACACCAACAACGTCCAGACGCACACTCAGCCACCGCTGGTTAGCAAACGTGAGATAGTATGCGCTGTTCATGTCGTCAACCGCATTCCGGACCGACTTGGAGAACTGGTCTTGAAGCCCATAGGCACGAATTGTCGGTGTTCCCATAATAGCCTCGCCGAACCGCGAGAAGACTGTACTGCGCAGAACAGCTTCATGTCGCTTGACCTCGCGAGCCGAAGACCGGTAAAACGCTGCCGAAAACATGAACAGCAAGAACAGCGGCCCCAGCGCAATCGCATAGTAATAGTAGTACGAAATGATGAGAATAAAAACACTGCCACATCCCACCCGGTTAGCTTCAAAAAAACATGCACTGCAAGGTCCACCCAGAGAAAAAAAAAACTTACGAGATAATCATAGCCAGCGTCATAAAATACATACGCATCGAATCCGTAATCGTGTTATCCATAACATCGATATCCTTGCTGAACCGATTCGTAATGCGTCCCAAAGGCGTCGTGTCGAAGAAGGACATGGGCGCCCGCAACACGCGCGTAATTGCCCGATGCAACATGACCTCGCCCGCTCGCGTCCCGAAAATAGCGACGGAAAACGAGAAGAAGAACATGAAGAGGGCTTGGCTGATGCCAAAGGCCGCGTAGGCGCCAATGTAGGCGCCCTGCGAGTATCCAAACTTGTTAGACGTCCAGTACGAGAGCCAGAGAGAAGTGGTAATGTTTGCCCCTTGCGAGAGGACGAGCAGAATGAAGACGAGCGGGCCGACCCAGATGCCCCCACCGGCTTTGATGTATTCCATCCACACTTGCCAGCTGACGCTCTTGGTCGCCCGTTCTTCCTGCTGCATAAGCGCCGCTTGCTTCTTTGACCTTTTCTGTTTCTTGACAGTCTTGACTTGGGCTGCTACCTTACCGTCCACTGCTTCCACTTCCTCCTCCTCCTCGTCTTCTTCCTCCTTTTCTTTTTCCTTTGCAGTCGCGCTCATGACTTGGATAAAGTCGGCGTTTTGTGCCATGAGATTGTCAAACGTGTCTACCGCTTTGACTCGGCCTTGATCAACCCAGATGATACGATCGCAGCGGCTTAGTACGTGCAGCTGGTGGGTAGCTAGGATTCGGCACTTGTCTTTGAGCAGTCCGCAGATAGCATTGTCCATGATGTGCCGGCCCACGTGGGCATCGACGGCACTCAACGGGTCGTCCATGAGAATGATATCCGCGTCAAAGTAAATCGCACGTGCGATATTCATACGCTGCTTCTGACCACCCGACACAGTAATGCCACGCTCGCCAATCTCCGTTGCATCGTGATGAGGCAGCATGTCGAGATCCGCGCGAAGCGCACAGGCATCCACCACCTCGTCATACCATTTGCGATTGAATTCCTTGCCAAAGATGATGTTTTCCCGTACCGTTGCGTTCTGGATCCATGCGTATTGCGGGCAGAAGGCGCGTGAGGCCCCGAAAATGACTTCGCCATTTGTCTTGCGCATGTCGCCTGCGAGGGCTGCGAGCAATGAAGTCTTACCTGAGCCGACGCCGCCAATAATGGCCACCAACTCGTTCCGTCCAAACGTAAGATTGAGTCCTTTGATTTCAAACGGCTTTTCCTCCTCTTCCACAACCGTTGCGTCTGAAGGGGTCGTGGCTCCATTCGCCCGCATCGCCTCTGCAGCCGCCTTCTTCTCCTTTTTCGTCTCGCCCTTCTTACCGGGTGCTCCGCCTTTGCCTGGTCCATCTTCAGCTTCCTGAGTCGGGTGGCGCTCCCAGGTGAAATCCGCATCCTTAAGTACCACGGCATCCTTGGCATCGTACTCCCAGCGCCCGCTCTCTTCCGCCTCTTCCGCAAGAAGGAATTCCTGGATACGCTCCACAGAGACATTTGCATCAATGACTTGGCCAATAACCAGCGGAAGGAAGTTGAGAGGGATACGCATCGAGTTGAATAGAGCCAGCGAGGAGAAGATTGGCGCGGGATCGAGATTTCTGTGGAACTGAGAATATGTGATAAAGGAAACCATCGATGCGAAGACAGGCATCGACATTCCCACGGAAAGAACGGCATTTCGAATGGTAAGCAGGATTTGAATGCCGTGAATTTCCTTCTTTCGAATGGCCTGGATGCGCTCTAGGAAGCTTGTTTCCCAGCCAAAGTACTTGACGAACCGCACCCCTTGGAGAATCTCCTGCGTCAAGCTCACACGCTGATCGGTAATCTTGTTGATGACAATTCTTCGGCGGAACAGAGTCTTGACTGCACGACCAAGCAGGGGCATGGCAATGAGGATGAGACCGAGACCGGGTAGCGCACTATACGTGAGGTTGACGAGAAGCAAAGCCGTTGTAATGAGAATGCCGATAGGAGCAGTCCAGATCATGTGGAAGAAACCGCTGGCCAGGTCAATACGGTACGTATCGGTAGACATGAGGTTGACAATTCGCCCATTGCCCCAGCCCTCACCATCACCTGCCACACCTGCCTGCGTTTTTGGGCCCTGTTTCTTTTCCTTCTTCTTGAGTATCTTCTTGTACCATTTCAGCTGCGCTTCACTTCCCGGCTTTAGATCAGGCGGCGGTGCCTCGAGGATAGCCTGGCCACCAGCCTTTGCTCTGCCTGATAGCTTAATAGCCTTGTTAAAAATGAGGGCAATCAAGACACCTCTGGCTTCTCCACCAATCATCATACCGCGGTACATGAAATGATTAGTGGCCAAACTCTGCAGAGACTGCATCACGGTGATTGCAATGACCAGGCCAATACCTTCGCCGATAGGTGGTCCAGGGACGCCCCTTTGCTGTGCAACGTATGCCTTGACGGCAAAGCTGATAAGATAGCGCAGTACAAAGGGAGCAATCGCTTGTATGACGGATGCTGAGAGCTGGCACAGACCACCAATAATGAACTCCCACTTGAACGTGTCGAACATGGCACCAAGCAGAGGCCTCTCGCCGCCTTGTTCTCGCCGCCTGTTGAAGGCCGCTTCCAACTTGGCTGCCAGTACATCTGCACTTCGGTCCGGGTTGACTTCCCAAATATCATTCTTTTCTAGCGGCCGCTTGTAGCCTACTCGCATAATCGGTTGCATCCATTGCCATGTGAGTTTGCTGAACAATCCAGCAGTGTATTCTGGGCTTACGGTGCGCTCTTTCGGTACAGGCGGCGGGTTGTTCTTGAGCACGTTCAGGCGTTTGTAAAAGGGCTTCTTCATTTGCGTTGATTTTGTGGCGCTGGACTCTATTGTGCTGGCTTCCGAGTACGCACTGGTACTCGATTGTAACCTGGAAAGGTTGCCTCTTGGTCCATGGCCGTCGCCATTACTCTCAAATGCCTTTTCGCTAGCCTCTGTGTGTATCGGTTCATACTCTGTGGGATTTTCTGCTGCCGCTTGAGGATCGGCCAGGCCCAAAACCTTTTCTTTTTCGTTCTCGTCCAGAGACGACGATGATTGGGATTTGGCCATATCGGCGCGAATGCCGGCCCAATCTCGGGTTTCGTTGCGGCGATGGGAGGCGGATCGTATTGTGGGCCCTAGTAAGATGTAGTATGACTTGCGTAGTGATCAGCCAAATGTATGGCTGACGTATGCCAGGGAATATATCAAAGGCTGGTTGACAGTTGGAGAGGAAAAGGCGACGAGTACGAGGAGTTGCGAGACGGCATGGTTGCGAGCGCAAGGTCACGCCTAGTCTATAAAGAGCCCTGGCATAGTAGTCATGAAATCAGTGCCCGCGCTCCACCATTAGCGTATGGCCTTAAACGGAGTTAGCAGTCGCCAATGAACGGCGAGGTCCGTTGCTGCATCATCTGGCGGTTGCTAAGCATCAGAGAATATACGACGCCTGCTCGGCGCCTGAACTTGCCCGACGAACCGAAGTGCTGCGTATAGACGCTCCCAGTAATGCCCCCGCGTCCGCGGAGAGCGACACGACAAAGTGAACGCCCTATCTATACGCACCAGTTTCGTCTCCTTCCCTCGCGTCTCCTCTGAGCCATGTCCTTTGGCGACGGCATGGAAATTTCTTTTCGCGTGTTTTGTTTTCCGCGAGGCCAGAATCGTCCGGTAACTAGGATGCGACGCCACCGCCTCGAGTGGAGCCGTCGCAGTATGCGCCCACCAAGGCTCCAACGCCGACATGCCGATATCTTAACAGACCACGATGCCCCGTCATCTACCGAAACCGCCTGTAAGTGGTTCACATGGCGTACGTAACCTACTGGGTTCATACGTGTGTATGCACAAGACGAGAGTACATGTCACCCCCGCAGTGTGGATAGTTCCGGATATGCTTGTAGTACGTTTGTAGAACTTGTCACATTACACAGACATGCCGCTGCCCCACAAAGACCCCTTTACTACTTAATCCATCTGCACCTGGAAGTATCGTCCCGCCGGCAGCCCTTACAAGCAACCGTCGCTCGGCCATGGCGCCTCGGGTATAGCATGGCCATAAGGCTCCAATCGCCAGTGGCGATGTTTGCCTTTCTAGAAAACGGTTCGCCATCGACGCGGACGGAGTTTGGCCCAAGTCCGGCGTCTATATGTCGTTCGAAAAAACATGTACGGAAACCTTGAACGCCCCCGACCAAGGGTTCCAGGAGCCAATGACAGAGACCCATGCAAAGTAGTCTATGTAAGCCGCATGCAAACCAACCTAGGCACCAGCATGGCCATGGCCATGGCTACGCTTGACCGCTGCCTGCTATGCCGTATGACGTGGGACAACACGGCTGGCTCCTCTATTTCCGGTCAAGCGAAGGCTATCAAGATTGCACTTTGGCCCGTTCTTCTCAACATCGCTAAAGCACAGAGCTCGGCTTAGGAATCAATCACAAACGGGCAACGACCTGCAAACTAGGTGTAGTCTATCAATGCCCTATATCGTCTAGTAGCCGTTTCAGTCCCAACCATCCATGTGACTAGGTTCAAAAACACCCGAACATACTACAACGTATCCGCTCGCGTACAACAAAATGTAACAACTACACTCGCACAAACTTCCACCAAGGGTATCCTAAACTTTGGTGCCGCACTTCCAACTAGTTCGCTCGCCTGTAAACGCCCATATTCCGGCTCAACCGGACATGCAAGAACTTATTCCTCCGTTTTTCCCTTCAGTGTAGGCAGCTCCTCCATGGCCTCCTTGATGATTGACAGGGCCGACTCAATTTCTTGTTCAGTGATGACCAGCGGTGGTGCAAGGCGGATAATGTTCTGGTGTGTGGGTTTCGCCTGTCCGTCTGTGTCAGTACTGTCAACCTCTTTTACGTGCATAATCTTGAGGGCTCTTCCTACCAATAGTCCCTTCTCTTTGAAGAGCATGCAGAGATCCCAAGCGCTGTGCCCGTTTGTCCTACTCTCATCGATGACGATGGCGTTCAATAAGCCCTTGCCCCGAATCGTCTTGATCATCGGGTTGTTGATGTCTTGAAGTCCTTGACGGAACTTGTTACCAAGTGTCTCTGCGCGCTCAATCATGTTTTCTTCTTCGATGAGCTCAAGCGCCCGGATCGCGACAGCGGAGCCGAGAGGATTACCGCCATATGTTGAACCGTGTGTACCAGGCTCAATGGTAAGCATAACTTCCTTGGAACCTAGTACACACGAGACAGGGTACATACCGCCGGAGATGGCTTTGCCGAGAAGGACCAGGTCGGGCTTGATGCCACTCCACTCATGACAGAGCATCTTGCCTGTTCGCGCGATACCTGTCTGGATTTCATCGCAGATGAGAAGCACATTGTGCTTGTCGCAAAGCGCCCTCACTTGGTGCAGATAGCTGTCGTCTGGGACCACGATACCGGCCTCACCCTGGATGGGCTCGACAAGGAAAGCAGCAGTATTCTTTCCATGCTTCTCTAACGTCTCACGAACATCATCGACATTGTTATAGCGAATCGGCTTGCCTGTGGCAGGGCAGACACTTCCGATTCCAGGAAGGTATGGCCCATAATTCTCACGAGACTCGGGGTCCGTGGACATGGTAATAGCGGCAAACTGACCTCTTGTTAGCTGAAGCGCCTGTGTAGGAGACCCAGTGATACGTACTGTCCGACCGTGGAAATTCTCCTGCACAGAGAAGACCAACGCCTCATTCTGTGGAATGCCCTTGACCTTGTATCCCCACTTGCGGGCAATCTTGACGGCTGTCTCGACGGCTTCGGCGCCTGTGTTCATGGGCAGGATCATGTCAAAGCCAAACAGTTTCGTCGCATACTCGGCAAAGCGGGGGAAGACATCATTGTAGAATGCACGGCTGCTGAGTGTTAAGCGCGACGCCTGCTCAGTCAAGGCCTTGACGAGCTCCGGGTGGCAGTGACCCTGGTTGACGGCGCTGTATGCAGAGAGGAAGTCGAGATAATGCTTGCCCTCAGGATCCCAGACGCTGCAGCCGCTCGCTCTGGCAAACACTCGACTTGGTCAGCTCAGGATACATGGTTTGGGGCCCATGAATACATACCGATGGGCAGAGGGTGGTAGTTGTGAGCTGCAAAGTCGGACTCGGACTTGATGGCCGCCTGTGACGACGTAGCGTGGTACTTGGCAGGGTCTGGTGTGCCGGTGGGGTGAAAGGAGCGAGCAGTTGGCTTCAAGATGGTGGCATTGCTGTGTGCACTGGTCGTGTTGTTCTGGACTGCGCCTGGAGCCATGGTGAATGCTGTATGTGTGAACGTGGGGTAGCGGTGGGGAAGTGTCCTGGGACGTGTTGAAGAAGCAACAAATAGATTTGTGGGCAAAGAAAAGAGCGGAACACGCAGACTTCTTATTTCCCCGGTGGTTTGACTGCTGTGCCGTGAATCGCCTCCAACTGTACTTAGGAGATAGCCTCCGTAAGAACAACTGGTGCTATCGCCTCAAGATGCCTTTAGAGGAACGCGACCAACGAGCGCCTCGGTTGCGTGCGGGTCACCGCTATAGCGCCGCTATCATTGGCTCGTGACCACGGGAGGCACGCTGGGCTGGCCGTGGCCAAAGCCATACTGAGGGGAACTCGGGCGACGAGGGCGCAGACACAATTCCAGAGGGAGTGAATCGAGGTTTTGGCCATGGATAATATCAAGTCGGCGCGTCTGCCCGCTAAAAGTTACCTGTTCGTAGTGGTGTCGTGACGCGTGCGCCATTTTCTCCGCCTGCTCGTGCAATCACAGCCTCCAAAGCTCCGGCTGGACGGTGACGCTGTCGGTTCGGATAGCCTTCTTTTCGGAGCATCACCATCGCTGTTGGAGACCGTTGACATTTCCTATCCATGTGCCTGTAGTCGCTTCTCGGCCGCCCAACACTCTGACATTGACAGCCGACCGTCAATCTCCGACGGCACTGCGAGCGAACCCAGAGTGTACTGTCACATGATCTTTAACAGGCCGGCTCGCCAACCATGCTCTCCAAACACTCTTCATCACTATCTTCATAGTCCCCACAAGTTGTTACACCTTCCAAAAGCAGCCACCATGTCTACAAAGCCCCTCTTCGAAAAAGACCGGCCCATGCACTGGGTCCTCGACTGGGACGGCACCATCACCAAAAAAGACACTCTAAATGCCCTCGTCAGCATATCTGCAGCAGAAAAACCCAACTTCCCCACCATGGACCACTGGAAATCCGCCTCACAGGCATACATGGACGACTACGCCGCCACACTAAAACAGCTCGTCCCCACTGGCGCTCTCCCAACGACAATAACCGAGGAAAAACAGCTCCTAGCCAGACTGAAAGAAGTAGAGCAGCGCAGTCTCGACCGCGTACATTCATCTGCTATATTCACTAATCTTACCCATCAAGGCATCGAATCAGGAGCCAGTCGGGTCATAGAATCAGACCAAGTACAACTTCGCACTGGCTTCCCCTCATTCTTCAAGCACATCCAGTCACGTGAGCGCGACGCTTTTGTCATGCTGAGTGTAAACTGGTCTCGCCATTTCATTCATTCTTGCCTTGCCGCATCCAAGATCAGCGTAGCCTCGCACGCTGTCCTGTCCAACGAGCTCGACGGTATATCCGCCGGGCTGCCCTCGTCTGGTCGCATCATCAATGCAGCCTCGGGAGAACCGGACCCCATTGTATCCAGTGGTGACAAACTGCAAATTTTTGAACAGATGCAGGAGGTCAACGGGCCCAAGGTCTACATTGGTGACAGCTGGACGGATATCGAGTGTCTGCTAGCTGCAGACCTTGGTATCTGCATCCGCGATGATCCCATGGGTAGCTCGCAGAAGATACTTGCAGATGCGCTCACGAGACTGGGAGTACCATGTCCAAAGTTGAGAGACCGGAGGCAGCATACCGAGCGTGGTATCGTATGGGCCAGGGACTTTACAGAAGTGCTTGAATGGATGGAGAATGGTTTATAGTAATCATTCATTGTAACTAAACCAAAATCAAGCTATATTAATCCTACAATTCCTAACCGGGAAGATGACACCAAACGCACACCGCTATGCTAATGAAATGATTTAGACTTCTGTCTCGATCTCGTCTCCGTTTCTCTCGTGATGGTGGAAGATGTGTCCCATCTTCCTCTTTCCCCTATCACCCACGTGCTTCATCCAGGCCAGCGTCCGCGGCCCCTTCCGTTGCATGATTCCTCTATTCTTGCGATGCAGCGTCTTTTGAGACGCTTTGTACTCCTTCAACTGTGTAATTGGGCCTCTGCCGCCGTCTTCACTCATCTTTGAGTCGGTTTTTCTGTGCTTTTGAAGAAAATCGGGTACCATGTTACCACAGTCATCCTTGGCGTCTTCCTCATGTTCGTCTTCTTCATCGTCAGATGAGTCGGAGCTGTCGGAGCTGTCTTCTTCAGTCTCCTTGTTGTCGTTGATACCAGGTTTCTCTGAGCCGTCCGATTCCTCCCAGTTGGTCCATTCTTGGTCATTACAAGTGTCCAGCACTTCCATGACGTTGATGAGGTGCTTGTCGCCCTTTGCCACCTTCTCGTGATATCCAGATAGACCAGACCACATTGTCAGCGTGACCTCAATCTCGCCTACCTTTTCACCATACGAATCGAGTACGTTGTCTTCTGCGAGTTTCAAATCGCCTTTCCAGATGGTCAGACGTTTCGTTTGCTCCTCGTTGTCTGGAATATCCTTGAGCCAGAAGATGCAAAACGCATGTGTGCGATCTCTTAACGTGGCATCCTGCCTGAACTCAAAAATCAATGGTGCACAGTAGCGTGCGCGTACGGGTAAGCGTATCGGTCGGCTTTTTCTTGTAGTCCAAACAGGTTGACCATCCTCTGAGCGGACATGACCTTTACGTCCGCGTGAATGCAACTTTCCATGGTCCAGTGGAGTGCGAACCTTGAGCCTGAGAGGTCCTATGTCGCTCGGAACATCGACACCCTTGATATAGGGTTTGATATCCACAGTTCCATAATCCCAGCCGCGCAGTTCCCGGGGAAGTTGAACCTGCACACTTCGGAAAACCATGGAGACACGCATGCGTCCATAGCCATTGCCCCCAGCAAGCGGGAAGATGGAATTTATCTGGCTGCGCTCTTTAAACACCCTCTCCAACGGGAGATAGACGATGCCTAGTAAGGCATCATCTTCATGGACACGAGCATCGCGGACAGCAATATGTACTTCAGTATTACGCACATCTCGGATGAAGCGTTCACATCCAGCGTTGAAAAAGGGTTTCGAGTTCTTTGGCTTGGTCCGGGTTTTGAAGACTTTCTTGTGGTTGACGATGATGTTGCAATATGCAGAAGGGAGATCGTCACCTTCTTCCTCCTCGTCAGTAGCCTCCGCCGAAGCTTTGTGCTTGTTCAAAGTTTCCAGCTCCAATCCGGTAATCTGGTGGATCTGGATGCTAAGAATACCGGAAGGATAGTCTTCAGAGGGTGGGGAGGCAATGATAAGTTCATCTTGGCGGCTTTTGAAATCTTCAGCCTTCTGCTGTTCCACCTCCTTTCGGTGATCCTCGCTTGCCTCCCGAAGTTTGCCCTCCGCTTCTTTGTATACCTTGTCTTTCAACTGTTGTATAGATTTCACATTCGGGTCCTCCTCTTGCATAGTAAGCTGGTCGTCAGTAATCCTAGTTTTCGAAAAGTAGCCGACACTCCAGCTCAGTTTCCCAGGCATACCTTGCCCAGCCTTTAGAGCATGGAAGCCGTCTTCGCGATCGTGCATTCTACCGTTGGTCTCATTACTCTTCATCAGGTCTTTGAGATCCAGCTCAATGCGTCCGAGGTCGTCGTCGGCTGTCATGCGGTCAGAGTCCCACAGTTGGAGTCTCAGCTTTTCGTCAACGTTCAGCTCGTCACGAGTGACACAAACGAAGCACCACTCATCCCAATGGGGCTCCATATTCGATTTCAAGACACGTGTGGACCAGAGGGGCTTGCCAAATTTGGCCCAGCCTACACTGACATAAGGATCCGCGGAACCACCCCAGGGACCGATCTTAGTGTCTCCTTCCTTGAAGTCGAAAGCATGTTTGATGTGCACCATTATTACGCCCTGTGCGACCGTGTCCTTCTTGAAGTCGTCTCCCATCATCATATCTTTGAGATCCAATGTCAAAGACTTGGGCGCGACATATTCAGCTAGGGCGGCGTCCATGGACGACTGGACGAATTTGGAGATTAAAGGGACGTCCATGAGATTAGGTCCCTTTTTGATGAGTGGGACGCAAGACAGAGTCACTTTCGGCTGGCCCATGAAGGACATGGTGCAAATAGAAAAAAATGGAGGATCTGGGCAGAGTTGTAGACGAAAACGCATCACGCCAACCATGCCCGCAAGGTCAACCCAGACAGCTTTATTATGTTAGTGAATTACAAAAGTGCGTGACGGATTAACTCACGTAGCTTAACGTTTCCGGGTAGGTAGAAAGCCAGCAGCAAATGTGCATGCTTCGCGCGTGTCTTGACACCTTGTCCTGTTGAGGGTCTGTATGCGAATGCGATTTCCAGATTGACAAAGTCGCCATCCTCAGCCTCCATGGTATCATGGCCTGGTATCTCATCCTGGCCTTCTCCATCGTCTGGCACAGTACGATCGTTTTTCTCTTCATTTGAAGATTTGAGATTTCCATCAGCGCCCACTGATCGAGCAGCTGCTCCCGTTGGTAGCCAGCGAACACCGAGAATACGAAGAGCCTCGCTACCCTGACCAATATCTTCAACTGCGACCATACGAACCATGCTAGGAAGAGAAGCCTGCATCACATCCTGCGGTTGTTAGTTGAGAAATTGCTGTGTGTATTCTTGTACCAACCTCAAGCGTGTCGGAGATGCTCGTGAATAGATCGGGATTGATCAATGGCCATACAGATGTAAAGAGTGAGTTCAGCCATTGTGTGCTTTCGGCCGTCTCGGTTTTAGCCAGTTCTTGACCGCGTTTCCGCTCTGCTCTCCAAACTTCCACATCCCATACATTCTTGATCTTGTTCTCTGACCATTGGCGCATGAACATAACAATGGCTCCAGATACCATTGCCATTGTACTGAGCTCAGCGAGCTTGAGCAGCTGTCTTGTCCAACCTGTGGAATGACGCGTTGGCCAGAACAAGGCATTGACCAACATTAAACTAACAGCGGCAGCCCCCACGCCAATAGTCACAGCATGCATGTAGACTGTAGAAATCTCGTCTCGTGTCCGATCAAAGGACGGAGGGGGGAACAAGACCTCCATGCCTGCGTGGGCTTCTTGCGATTCATGGCTTTCGACTTGCAATTGCTCATCACTTTTGTCAATGGCATCAGTGCCAGTCGCTGTCCGAGGATCGAAACCGGGTGGGGATGAGTTCTTTGCAGTGCTTTTCAGCTCTCGATCGGTGAAATCGTGAACTTTGATGGGCAGATGGGTAATTGGGTCGGTGACTAAGCGCTCTGTACCATCGGCCTTGAAATGCTTCATCTGTTTGCGGGCTTTTCTAGGATTTGCTGATTTCAACCCGCCTTCTGTCGTGTCTTCCACCTCTTGCTCGTCATCCATATCCTGGGGTGCATCTCTTTGGTCGTTGCTGGGTACTGTCTTGCCAGCATGATCTTCAGCAATTTCATCGTCTTGCGGGAGATTCTTGTTCGTAGCTGCGTACGGCCCGTTTCCATCATTGGCCGGCTCCACGTCTCTTCCAAACCTGAAGACATCTACAGCGTCGCCGAGCCGATCGCGTTTGCTCGGCTCATTGCCCTCGCCATCTGGATTCCCGTACGCTTGTTGCCTCCTCTGCTTCTCCTCGCGATACTTTTGGACTGTAGGAATTGGATTATGTGCATTGTGTGGCCGTCGGTAGTCCCTGTGTTGAGCATCTACGTCGTCCACGCCGGACATGTTTAGACGTTGGCAATGATATGTGTTGTCGGCGGTATGCTCGAGTGATGGGAGCAAAGGTGAGAGGGATTTGTCGCGAATACATCTGTATTTCTGACTGGCAGGAAACAAGGAACGCGTCGATGCCCTGAAACCCACAATAGCAGCTCAGCATTCGTGTGTACGACAGGGTAGAGTTTCCCTTTTCTTCGCAGTTGACGTAGGTACGCGCCTGAGTTTTCATGACATTGGCCACACTCCGCCCATGTAGCTCCACTTTGTGCGCCAGCGCCACACCACCCATGACCGCGGCAGCGAAGAGCTGTTCGTGCTTTTGGGAGTGGCAGATGCGATGACGTCGCCACAATCCGTCACGCCACGTAAAGCGGGGACTGCCAAGCCTCTGCCGATCGGCTCCACCCTGTCCTCCGTCTCTATCATGTAGTTGTCAGGCATGCCTTGCTTTAACGACATACTTACTATATATTTATAACGATAACGATACTGAGTATATTGGACATGGAATAGACTGATCACATTCACACCAGGGGTATCAATTGCAAACTATCGTCACGCTGTGAGTAGCCTCTCATCAGTTGCTCCAAATCCGCACTTGCTTGTCTGCACCACCGCTCCCGACTCTCTCTCCATCCGGACTCCAGTCTAGCGCAAAGACCTGGTCTTTGTGTCCTGGCAAGTCTTCCTTCAGCTTCCTGGTTCTCATGTCCCACACCTTCAATGTCGTGTCTTTGCTACAGCTCGCCAGTAGCCGGCTATCAGCAGAGAAGGACGTCATATATACAGGACCGACATGTCCCCTGAGCGTGTCGATGAACTTTCCATCTCGAGCTGACCACAACTTGACGTGATTATCCCAAGCTCCCGATGCTAACATGGAACCGTCGGGCGAGAAAGTTACTTGGTTGATCTGCTTCTGATGGCCGGTCATCCTATTTACTGGTTTTGTGCTTGTCAAGGGCGTCCAAAGTATTATTGTGCAGTCTTCAGACGCAGTTGCCAAACGCTCTATCACTTCACCGTTGATTGTGGCAGCTTTCTCGAATCGTGCTTTCGCTTTGGCAAGCTTCTCTTCTTGCGTGGCTGGTACCTTGCGCGTATGATCGTGATACGAGGTTCTCAACACAAAGTCCGTGGAGAGGGCAAGGTGGTTGACCCAATGCGCGTGGCCCTGTAGCGTGTTGATCAATGTGCCTTTTGCTGCGTCCCATACCTTGATGGTCTTGTCGTGAGAGGCAGTATACA